GAGAGAGAGAGAGAGAGAGAGAGGGGAAGGGAATGTGGGGAATGAGAGCCGTCGGTCGCCCTGCCTTGTTCAATTTTAGCACAAATTCGACACTTCAGTTTTGTGTAATGATTGATTTTGCCGTGTTTATTTAAAGGTACATGTTGAGCTTTAAAGATCGATACCACACAGGCAACAGCAAGTCCCTGGTTTCCGGCTGGACCTTTTAGCTGCATGTCATTCCCCTGATCTCCTCCCACATATTTTGTGTTTCTCTCCCACAGAAATGGCCCAAAACAAACAAGAACATATATGTAAAAAAAAAAGAAAGAAAGAAAGAAAAACAAAAGTCTGATCTATCATTACATTAAATCAACATGAAGTTAAGTCAGCAGGCATTCTTCTAATCCTCTGACACTTTGCACACAAAATAATGTTTAATTGAAATCTCACAGAACATGACTTGTTGGTTTAACTTCATGTTGACTTAACTTGAAGTTCTTCTATTGAGGGCCATAAATCAACCTGCATACAATACCAAATAAATAAATAAAATGAGAAAGTAGTTTGTACTTTGATCTACAACAACAGCTTATGTAAAGCCAGTATAATAGCTCCAATGTTCAGTTTAAAGTTGGTGATACACCAGCATCCGTCTCCCCACAGCAAACCTGTGTGATCAGAAATGTGTGGTAGGAGCTGGAACCTCCACAGATACAAATGAAGTATTATACTGAATGTTATGCAGGTGCTTTCCATTGTTAACAGCCTTACAGTTCAGGTTAGAGCAGTGGATTAAAGTGAAATTTTGTTTTGTCTCTCCAGCCACCAGGGGGCGATGCAGCTCACTCTGCATCTTTGACTCAGAAAATTAGAATAAAAGGTTCTCTGCATCTGTAAAGATCTAACCTTATAGACTATCTGGTGTAATCTATTTATTAGTTTGGCTGTGAGGATGGAACAGCATCGTGTCAAGTGTAAACTACGACTGAGCAGTGATTTTATATTTGCAACATGGATGAAGTGACCGGAACAAGAGGTTCAGGCAGATTTTAGCACCATGATGTGGTTAAAAACTGAAGTACACTTTGACTCTGCTCACTGCCAGTGTTGTCAAGCAGAAAAATGATCATTTTGGAGTCCACAGTGACAATAATTTTAAAAGAAAGACAGTTAATACAGATGAGATCAAGGTATTTTATTTTTCAAACAATCTGTATTAAGACATGAATTCATTCAACACAATCTTTTGAAAGTTTAAAGTTTATCAGTCTATGAAATACAATCTGGAGTTAACCTCTCACAAGTAACACAGACGCGCGCGCACACTAAAACATTGCAAAGATGTTAACCGTTTAAAAAAAAAGAAAACAAAAAAACATTATTGAAAAAGAACAATAGATATTGTAGGTCTGTCCAAAGATCCACGTCATCTTCGAGCTCCCCAAGGTTGATCTGCCTCCCTCCCAGCTACAGCTGCTGATCCATTCACACGCTATTGATTAGAAATAGAAGCTATGAGAGAAGAGCGCCTCGTGAGAATATTATCTGTCATTCATTTATCGATACTTAAGAGTTCAGAAAGGCAGTTTCTGGGATTGGATTATTATAACGAGCATCCTGGTTGTGTTGAACTGACAGAGAAGCAGTTATTTCTTGTGATTACAAACAAAAGGAAAAGCAGAGAATGACTTCTGAAACACACAAACCAGCTGACATTTAATCTGCCAAAGGCCACTGAAGCATCACTACCTGCAAGTCACGCTGAGACGGACAGTCAGGGTTTGGATTGGTTCAAATGCTTGTATTGCTTATAAAAAAAAAAAAGAAATGTCAGCATCTCTCAGGACTTAGTGTTGCTTCTTCCTGACGGCTGTTCGGAGCCGGCTCGCGTGAACTCGGCAATCAAGCCAGAAATCTTCCCTAAACCTAATGAGTTGTGAGGCTGGGGTCTTTTAACGGCCCTCGGTACAAAATGAAATACCACTTACACATGTTAAGGTGCTTTTAGGGAAATCACAAACCACTACTGCTCCTGTGTTTCAAACTGCAGCCTGTTATTGGAGTTCCTGCTGCATTCAATTAGACAGGCTGATAACAACATCGTCAGCTGTGTCTGTTTTTACTAAGTCAAATATTTCAATTGTAATGCCATCCACCAAAACAACAGCCAACACAAGCCATGCACTCAGGATGACTAAACAAAGCTGATGCCGAGACTTTCTGCTGCCTTGTAGAGTTGATATTCTTGAAAAAGCAGCTAATGTTTATGTTGCTTAAAGTTATGTACAGACGGGTGACAAATTAAAGGAAAAACCAGAGCCCTTGACCCCCACAGAGAGTGATCACTAAGATGAAACATTTCCACATGACAGCGTCTCCATCCACAGGACAGGAGGGCACACTGAATATTCAGATAAAAACAATCACCAGATTTAAACCCAATCGAACAATTATTGGAGATGTTGGACAGGTGTATGAGGCAGCACTCTCCACCGTCATCACCAACATTGTCGTGGTGCACTGAAGCTGTTCTGCACCTTACTAAGATACTTGTTGTTTTATTTTAATTTGTCACCCGCCGGTGTATCTACTGTTTAACTTTAGTTGTACATTTTATCTTATTTAACTGCAAATGAAGTAGTCTGACTAAACTTGCTCAGCTCAGCTAATTGTTGTATCACATTTTGCAACCTAAGCGTGTTAAAGGAAAGTCCACTGATTTCACACATCAAAGTGTAAAGTAAAATGTGTACGTGGGGGTTCTGGTACAGATTTAGTAAAGCTATCTGCAGTGTTGTTCTTCTATAACCGAGTCACAATATGAAAATTGATGCAAAAATTGTGCACCTACAATGCAGGTTTGGTAAAGGATCCAGGTGTGTTATGCTAGTAGCTGATGATGTGTCCCCCATTTCACAACTTGCAGTCTCCAGCTCCAAGAAGTGATCACACACATGCAGCGACACCTGCAAATAGACTTTGATGTGTAAAACCTGTGGAATTACCTTTACCCTGTTCTGTAATATTCACATAAAACTTAAGTTGTCAGCAAATGATTTCTGGCTCGTCTATCTTGTCTTTATTCTCCCAGTACCTGATCAATGCACTTTTCACTTGCTAAAGGCTGCCTTCTATTTTTTTTTAAATACACTTCAAACGCCAAGGGCCTCTAACCTCACAACAAGGACCATCAGGTAATATCACCACTGCACTGCCTTTATGATGATCCCTGTCATCACCTGAGAATATTAACAGCCTGTCAGCGTCGTGTAGGCAATTTACACCAGAGGCCAGATCCAACACCAATCTGTGAGCTACCACGAGTGTCTGAATCACAGCCACAGTTGACTCTTCTGGTTAAAAGACAGACTTGTCTTTCTGTCGCGACAGAAACGCTGCAGCATTTGTCCACATACACACAGCTGTCTCAGCCGACTACTTGCTTAACTACAACAACTGCTCGGACTGATTTCACGCTGACGAGTTCGACGACTGATAGAATGAGGAAAAAACGAAAAAAGAAAAAAAAAGGTTTCCATCTCTCCTTTATACTCGATTATAGCTTTGATCTCTCTGCCTTAAAATACATTGTGCTTAGATTAATAGAGTGGTACACATTTTATATAAATACAAATCTGTCTCGTAGATGTACATTCACTTTTATTTCTCAATATAGACTAATTTACATATTTTATAAAATAGGCTTCTCAGAATATATCAAGCTACTCTCCTCACTACAAGATTACACAATCATTAAAGAATAAGCGCTTACCTCATCTTTGCAGCATGAACCTACATTATCTGAGCAGACGTCACACACAGAGCTTAATTTGATGCACGATAACTAAGTTTTCTCTACAAACGTGTTTCATACACATGGCTTTTCTCTATGCTGGCTCCCACCGTGAGTCCATCCTTTACATGTTACACTGGATTAACTGGACATGTACTTGTTATTGCGATTTTCTTCACGGATTATCGTCTGTTGATCACTTCAGGCTGTTACACTTGGTGCCAAAAAAGCATTTCAAGTCCATCTAAGGGATATTCTGGATTTGACTTAAGTGCACTTAACTGGCACAAGACGTTAATCGGAACGAGGGAGCAGATCTAGTTGTGCCTCTTCTTCTTCGTGTGATTTCAAGTAAGAGACTAATAGAGGTGGGGTGGTGGGTGGGTGGGGCATGGGGGCTCACAACCCTTCCTACAAACCTCTCTCCTTCCCAACTCCAAGGCACTGCTTAAACTGTAAACATGGCAGATTGATAAAAAATAATGATTTGACCATAAAAAGCATGAGTGCCAGAGCTCCTGGTGGATTGTAATTGAGGAATTTGAAATGTAGGTCATGGCACATAAAAGATATTTAAGAATAAAAACACATTCTTTGAAGGGGAAAACAACTTGGATACAGTACTATATCATCTATTTGAATGGCTTACATGCACACCAAAGTATCTGCTTGAGATATATTTGTAAATGTATGTTTACTGAAGTGAAAGTGCTTTCCATGCCCATTTACAGTTTGTTTTATAATCTCACCATAAAATTAACCATCTATCCATCTCTCTATATATATTTGATTAAACGCTCTCTGCCCTGAACATATACTGCAGTCTTAATAGCTTTCTATTTGACTGTATAAAATACATCTCTTCAGCTTAAAGGGCAGGCTTCAGCAGACTATGCCACTGATCACTAGCCAAGTTTCCTTTTTAGAGTTTCCTTTCATACTGGCAGCTGCACAAAAACAAAAACAAAAAAAATAGATGCATTTTGTTCTGTTGAAAAAAAACAAGATATTTCTTCTTGATAAGACAGGAGTTAGTACAACCATCTTGGCATTAAAATGCCCACCTGTTTCTACCAAAGTGCTGCAGCAGCACAGTGAACCGAGTGAGTCACTGAACAAAAAGCTTGATTCATCAAGCTTCTTCCTGATTAAGCTGCCTCATACTTCTACCGTACTGTCTGGTGTATGGGAGCACACAATATCTCTCTTGTGCAGCTGCCTAAACAAAGCAGACACTTCATTCCCCCTAGAAAAGAGGAAAATGTCTGTGCACTGCTAAGAAATAATCGACATCTAGAGCAGATCTCAAAGAGCTAACGCAGCATGAGACCATATTAGTGAAAAACCAGCTGGATTTATACATGAAAGGAAAACATTGGTTAGTGATCTGTGGGAATAGTTTCTTCTTCAGTATCTATAGTCGCATTTTAAACTCTACTTCCTTTGGCCTTGATTCATTCCCCTGTTGCAACATACACTGTGAACTTTGGCAGAATGTATAGATAGAAAATATATTAAGTCTCGTGAGTTCCAGCCTTGTTCTCCAAAGTGCCTGATGGGATTGAGTCCTCTGTAGGGTATCGCAGAGTCCCCAAACGTTAAATCTTATCTACTGGCCCAAGACAAATATGAACTATACCACACAGAGAGCTGTTCTACTGCAATTCCCTGGACAAACACATCTCACAAAAAGATCCACGCTAACGAAATAGTCTAAGAACTAAAATATAATACAGTAGAGTAGATCACTGTGGTCGGAGGGGAACGCACCCCCCCTTCCACGTTTCTCCAACACCCTCCTTTACGGACATCCCGTCCCCTCTCTCTCCTCCAAAGTTGTCATCGCACTCCCCAACACTAACAGCCAAATATATGAACTCCCCTCTTCAAAGACTCCACAAGAATAATATATATTGCAATATAATGGCAATATAATTACAGTAAAATTAAGAATACCAGTAGGCTAATACCAATACAGAATCACTACATATAAATATCAAATTTGTGTATTTTGTAAATCTATGAAAACAAAAAAGTTTAGATACAAGCCTGATGAGACAAATAATTAATGGTTTCACCTAAACCATAAAAAAGGCAAAGCAGGAGATTTCACTGTGCTGATTCTGCACATGTACGAGACTTCTGATTGGTTTTAGTATTTATTCATTGTTAAACTGAAATTTATTTTGCTTTTGAAGCATTCAAGGCTCACTTGTTGTGATTAAGAGTTACAACATCATTGCCTATTCAGGCCAGAAAAACAGTAAAAGCAGGGCTTCAGGTTACTGTCTACTGTAGGTAACTAAAATATTTAAACAAGCTACTTTGCCCTGACTTTATTGTCCCTTTGTACTAAATCCTTCCTTTAAGCCTCCCCGAAACTGTGGGAGCCCCAAAACAATTGGGGTCCACGAACCACTGCAGATGGGCGTTCCAGCATTTTAATATCAGACGTCCCTGTGAACGACGGCTATATGAGGCCTGCGAATGATTCAGATCGAAGGGTCAGATGCTAACTATTTACAGCTTCATTTTCAACATACAGTATTGGTAAATAATGCCTTCCTCAAAATGTACTGTAGAACCATCAAGGAATGTTTACATACTTCACAATTAGGAACTAAATAGTTACGACTGAACACAGGTCCACCAAGTAAAGTAAATCAAGACAAGAATATATACAGTACAAATTAATAGATGGTATTAACATTTGAAGCTCATCAGCAATTTTTCATGATGTTTCCAGGGAGAATTTTAATCAAGGGGGCCTCGGTCGAAACTGCATCTTAAGGAGTGTAGGCTGGAATGGATTTAGAGATCGTTTGTGTATGTGTGTGTGTGTGTGTATGTGTTTGTCTGAGAGACTGTGTGTCTGTGTGTTTGTCTTTGGAGCTTGAGTGCTTGAGTGTGAGCGAGCTGGAGAGAAAGAGAGAGCGATGTTCACATTTGTGTGCATGCGTTAGCGAGAATTTCAGATGCACTTCCTTCTCCAAACCCCTGCTGGGTTCCACACACTGACCAGAGCAGCTGTTCCTTCACCAGTTCATGATGCAGTTTCTGTTCAAGGTCATGAAGTACACCTGGCTGCTGCCTCCCGACCGCACTGAGGCGAAAAACACCTGAGGAGCAGCACAGACACAAAGGACATTCACGTCATCTAACACGTCATCCTTAAAGAACAACAATTTTTGTTATTGTGATTAATTATAGCAACTGACAATACATCAGTGTGAAACCGTTTCTACAAAGACAGAGTGGAATCAGCGGTACCATCCAACTGCCCTCCTGAGACTTAAAGGACAGCAGTGATTTCAGTCTCGTGTCAGTCCACGAAATATGAGGCCACATCTAGTAGCTGATTAGCTTGTCTTGAGGATGTTACGTGCTGCAACGTGTCTTGGCGAAGCACAGTGACTTCTTGGAATCTTGTCATCACAGTGAAGTTGCCAGGCAACCAGTGGAGACTAGGAAATCACTACTTTCAGCCAAGAAACACACCAGCAAGTACCTCCTTGTAATATCACAACTTCTCATTGTCATACTTTGGTTTTTCAACTCATTAGACACAGAATGGAACAGAGATCATCTTTTTGTAACTTTACTTTGACACATGAACACATACACAATAAAAATTAAAACCCTAACTCACAGAGAAGAGACTAGATTTGATCTTCTACGACTCCTAGCAAAAACGCCTCTAATATCTTGGTGGTGTTATCCTATATAAGTTTAAATGCAGGTGTTTTCTTCTTTTACCTTGTCATTTCTCTCACAAAGGAACTTCAGCCTCTGAGCTCTTTTGTGCATGAAAACGCCGTCCAAGTGGCCGGTCTCCACAGAGCGGATCTCAATGGCCTTTTCTCCCCAGCCCATGATCTGGTTTGAACAGATATGAGCTGCAGAGCAAAGTGTAACATTAGTACTGGACAAGCTAATTAAAATTTATATATATGATATATGTAATATATGCCTATGTAGTTATGTCCATGTTGGTGGGTTTAACCGTACCAACTGACGTGGGCATCTCGCCCCACTGCAGGACAACGTCCTTGATGATGCGTCCGTAGGTGTTGACATAGACGCCCTCGTCCTCGTAGCACAGCAGCATCTCCATGCCATCTGAGCTGGGCAGGAACACAATCGCATGCGGAGTCACATGACTCTGGATCTGTTTCAGATGAAAACAAAAGGGATAAGCTCCTGCGGGTTTCATGTCTCCCTTACTGCTGCTGTGTGACAGCTGTAAAACTTACATGAACGGGGATATAAATATCATAGTTGTTTCCAGAGTCTACATCGATAGCATGGAAGCCAGCACAAGAGCCGTAGATGACCTTCAACCTCTGACCTTCCTCCACTGTTAGGTCGACCAGGACAGGCCTGTGTGGCAAGTCTGCAAAAGACTGGTTTAAAGGGGTGGAGGGGGTTCGAGACAGAAAGCGAGTGTGAGCAGATGATCAACTTGAATGCTCCTCTGCTTGACTGACCTTGCATAGCTAATCCACCTCATAGGAAAGGGGAGACTTACCTTGAAGGCCATGAATTTGTGATAAGGTTTGGGCGCCCAAGCATATACTTCCACCGCATTCTTCAAAGCAATCACCAGGAACTTTATCCTCTCATATTTCACTAGACAGAACAACCACAAGGCCATCTGACATTAGACACTTGTAATTAATAATTCACTGTGCCAAATGCATTAATCAGAATTTGACTGGAGTGGAATAGACAGCAGTGATAAATAGCCATCGTTTGTCACTCACCCACTTTGTAGTGTACACAGCCCTCCATCTCCCCCACTGTGGTCCAACCTTGCTTCTTTTCCACCTCGGGGTCATTGTGGAGGATCTTATTCCTCAGCCACGCCAGGTAGTAGACACGCACCTTGTTTTTCTTGCCTTGATAGACACAAGGGGAGATCAATTACAAATGAGATAACAATAAAGCAGTTCTTTAAATGTACTTATAGTGTGGTAAAGATTATCTTGTATATTTTTCACATTTTGCACACAGTGTAGAGAAAAGTTGTGTTAAAAGATATATAACTTCAAATCTATTTCATATGAAACAATGCATTTTGGGGGGATTTTGCTGGTTACAGCTTTATAGTAAATTACACAAATTATGAAACATATTTATTGTTGCTGACTGAACACACTGACTGCTTCTACCTGCTTGTTTATACCAAGCGGTTGATTCTCTAAGTGTTGTTGTGTCTAAAAATCTAATAAACGCATCAGAACTTAACGAAATGTCATTACATTTTCTATATTAGTACATTGTTAGGACTAAATTTGTTTGACATTTGAGTGAAAAGCCAAGCATCGTTTCAAAAATATATATTAAAACTATTGAAATACAGTATATATCTATACTTAAATATAGCTTTTGTCAATATTTACAAACCCTAACACAGCATACAGTATCTTGCACACACTTTAAGTCAGCCTTCCTGTGATTTTGAAATGCAAAGTCGAAGTGCAATGCAAAATCATTACTCTGAAAATATCAGCACAATTTGGCATCCATTATATGGCATCCCATTAAAGAGAGTGCTCTCATGCCAAAAACACAAACAGCTTTAACCAACTGTAGTAAAAGCAGACAGACAATGAGCAGCAGTTATGACCTGATATGGTGATGAGCAGGTTGAGGCCCTCCAGCACATCCATCTGTTGGAACCTGCGAGAGTTGATGAGGGGGTAAACCTTGCCCTGACCACTACGGTCCAGCAGCTTCAAGCCGTTCTCTGTGCCCACCAACAGGTTCACACCTGGAGACACACACATGTACGAATAAATAGCTTCTTCATTTGCATAAAATGAGTTTAATTACTGTCTCTCCTCTAGCCACAGCTAAAAATAGTCTCACAGTATACCTCTGATGTAACTGCTGTGTATCTTGCCTAGCCTGCTTACTTTTTTCGTGATCATTTCAACATCACAACCTGCTGCAACCCCACCACTGAAAAGTAACCTTTCTGTCTCTCGGTACACAGAGTCATCACGGTATTTATAGAGAACAGCTTATGAGAAGGGTCTTGAAGTGATGTGATAAAAATTGCTTTGAAAACGAAAGCAGATTCACAAATGTTCATAGTTATTTGTGTCACAATAGATCTAATTTCAAAGTCACGCATTTCAGTTTTGATAGTATACACGACCATAGTTCTGCTGGAACAGACATATTAGGTAAAATAACAAAGGTTAAAATAAGTTTGCTCAATAATCTGACTGATCTCTCTGTAGTCTACACATGTGTTGAACCTGAGCCTGCTCACTCCAAAGATATACCACAATTTCAGTGACACAGTTAGTCTAAGGTATCTAATCTCTACATTTTTCAATTACATCTTTGCACTGACAGGTATTAAATCCATTCTCACCCCAAAGTGCAGCGCACAGGATCTCAGAGTTGAACCTTTTCTTGTATTTGCGGATCTCAGGTGTGTCATTGGGAGGGCGCGTGTTGGTGGGATTGACATTCACCATGGATCCTTTCCTTACCTCCATCTTCAGCTGCTCAAACCTGGAGCCTACACATGGAGACGGCAGTGAGCAAGTACAAACACAAACCAAGGCAACCTGGTGCAAGATGTGGAACTAGACACAAAGGTCCCATTAATCCTTTCCATTAAATGGAAATAAAGGTCGATGTACTAGCTTTTACAAGCAATATTTTCACAGACCTTGTATAATGTAATAAAAAAATAAATTTTGAGGAAAAACTTCCTAATTTTATTTCCCAGTATTTTCACTGCACAAGAAATGTCAGAATATAAAGTCATGAATACTTTTGCAGTTAGCTTCCTTGTTCAGTGTTCAACAACTCCAAGTGACTCACCAGTGACAGACATGTTATCTCCTGTACCTGGTGACTGGTACATGCCCAGATCCACAAACGTGGTGAAGGAGGACTTGCCAGATGCCTTAACCAAACCTCTGGACTGATACTGGTGGAGTAGAAGGGATGCATGATTGTGTTGTTTAAGTCAAACATCAATCATATCAGTAGAGATTTTATTTTGTGTGAAAAACTATCAAAAAAGGACATCCTCTTTGCTTCATCAAAACACTTTAAAGACGTATATCACTGATGGTAGTGTACCAACAACCTGAACTGACTGACACACTGAATGAAGTGTTAAGAGTGGTTTTAATGGCTGAAATCATGGCATATATGGAACACATAAAAATAAACCAGGAATTTAGGACTGATATACTTAGCATCAGGGAAACTTACATCATAAACAGAGTCCTTCCCAGGAGAGGAGTGAGTGGCTGAATCAGTGGGGGAGTGGGAGGGCTGCACCACATCTGGCAAGTTAGTGTATCCGTTATGGCTGCGCTTCTCTGGAGTCTTTCAGGTAAAATAAAAACACACACACAAACACACACACAAACACACACACACACAAACACACACACAAAGATGTATTACATAATGACCCAACAGGCTTATGTCTCGGCTAATCTGCTGCACTAAATACCAAGATATAACGTGTGGCTGGCACACAGTAACCACAAAAGTAAACTAACTGCTTTGTCTTTAAAAAGTCAGCTTTATGTCCTTAATACTGTGGGAACCAGCAAGTTGTTTTGTCTATTATGTCTCTGATGTCCCACTGTTATTTACATGCGGCTGTAAAAGTTTATGTAGGATTCTGTTATGCTTTCTGCCATCATCTAAATGACTCCAGTTATCTGAATAGTTCAGGTTCTCGCTGTCATGCACAAGTGAATGCCTCCTGACTTCATCTTTTAGCAAAAACTGAACATGCAAGAGTTGGAATGTTTTACTGCCACATTAAGGAAAAGAGTGAACCAAAAAAAAAAAAAAAAACAGAACTTTTTGAAGGATAAAGTCTAAAGCAGTAACTGACTGATGCTTTAAAAATAAAATCTTAAAAGATCTACATGCAAAGCTTTTAAATGTTCACACTTTTACAACTAAATATGGAAGCCCTCTGATAGCAGATTATGTACGGGACGTTTATTATTACAGTATATAAATAAATTTGGCTTAAAATATACATATAAAAAACTGTATATCATGTTCTCTACAAAAGGAAATATGGTGGTGCAGCAAAAAGTTTTGAACCAGTGGGTCGGCAGTGGTCTTTCTGTGTGGTTTTTGCATGTTCTCCCTGTATCTGTGTGGGTTTTCTCCAAATGCTAAGGCTTCCTCACAAAGTCCAAGGTTAATAAGGGACTCTAAATTGGCTGTCGATGAGAGAGTGAGCATTTGTCACTCCGTGTTCGCCCCACGATGGTGACCTATTATGGATGTATCCAGCCTCTAACCTAGTGTCAGCTGTATAGGCTCCAGCTTGCGTTGACCCACTACAGAATGAAGTAGTCTAGCTAATGAACGGATGGATAATTTACACCTATTTTCTCAGAACCATATCTTACGCAAACTCTGGGCTAAATGTAAAGAATCTCATTTCCACAAGAGGTTGCAATGTAACCCCCTTCAAGATATTAATTGACCAATCTAGACAGTAACATAAATGTGGGACTATTCTAAAGTGCTGAAGTTTGGTGCTGAAGTGAGACTGAAGACTTGCTTTAAAACCAGAAAGCAAATTTGCTGTCTGTATGTGTCAGCAATCAACATTCTTCCTGTGTGTGTGCACCGTATTGCATTTGTCATTTGATTTATAATGACACACAAACAAATAACTCCATATCTTTTCCTGAAATTCAGTAGTATAACTTTTGCTTGGCACGAATGCACCCTTACTGTATATCTAAATACACACACAGAACTACTGTGCTTCAGCAAAGAGACATGTCTTCCATTCCACTCATTAAGAGCTTCCTGGAAGATGTACACTGTCATGTGTCTGTCGCTTCTAATATCTCAAAAATACCCGCCAGTCTAACTGGGACTGGCTTAAGGGTGGCCTTTGGCAATACACAAAACAAAAAAATTGTAAAACTCTAAACTTCTGACAGTCACCAACAGAAAATGGGCAAACCAGAAACTTTATCTACATGACATTACTCAAAGGAGACTTAGCACTGTCTTTAATGCCATACTTTATGTTTTAGGCATCTTAATTATTTCTGCTATTAGAGTTTCACACAACAACACCCAACGACCACGTGAACAACATGCCCTTGTCTTTTACTGCTTTATAATATTCTTTGACACATAATGTGTTAATTTCATCATGAAATCACAATGCATTTTCAGCCTCATTACATATACAGATGACTCACTCTCTGCACCAGCATGGTCTGATCCCCATAGCCTCCAGCTTGCTCTCCTTCTCCCCCCTCACCCTCATCTTCATGAACCACCATGGTGTTGACTGAATCAGTGTCTGCGTCCCTGTGACTGCAATCACAACAGGAACACAGGATCAGGCCAGTTTCGTAATGAACAGGATTCAGAAGAGTGCCTAACGCAGTTTTGCAGAGGTACTAAACGCTTCATTCAAAAGTAAAGTGAAGGCAAAAGAAATAGATTGTGGTTTCCTGAGTTTCAGTATTTGTTGGTGTTAGTGTTACCGATCTGTGGGGCTTTCTTCCTCTTCTGCTCCCTCGCCACTCTCGCTTTCCTCACTGCTCTCACTGCTCTCTGAAGAGGAGGAATAATCATTGGCCTTGACCGGCGGCCTTGGCGGTTCCTCAGCACGTTCTTTGGCAAAGAGGCCATGATCCTGCACACAAACACATCACAGTTTATTTAATGAATGCATTTTAAAGATTTAGGAAAAAATAATAATCTCAGCTTTTAAAGAAAGCAGCAACAGTAATATATGCACTACTAATATTGAAGACAGTCCAAACACAATTTAAGGTGAGGGGTCATCAGGAGGATGAGCTCAGAAACAGTCCCAATGTAAGTGATTACAAATGATTACAAGGCTCAGTGTAGGGTGTCCACATGGCAACGGAATAAATAAAAACACATTTAAAAGGCTTTTATATAAGGAAAGGAATTTCATTCATAGACAAAACATGATTTACCCCATAAATGACGACAGCATAGACCATGCTTTTAATTTTCTGCGAACATTACACAGCCAAACACAAATACAAAGTCATGCATGAACACTGAGCATCACACAACACAAGAAGACACAGTAATACTAACCTCCCCTATAGCTCTCTTGTAACTCTGCACATTTGAGGTAAAGTCAACAAACAGGGATTTGAGAAGAGGAGAAACATAAGGGGAAATAGCAACAGTGCCAAAAGTGTAAAGTTAATATGAGGAGAAGACCTTGAGTTAGTATAATTTAAGTCATTTTACAGAACAAGTGCATTAGCGATCAAACTAAGCACAGCAAGTTAGAGCTTTTTATTTTATAACTGCCTTTCTGTGGATTATCAGTAATGTTAAAAGTAGTTTCATAAGTAGGGGAGAGTGAAGGGACAACCAATATAATGTCAGTTTAGGAGAAGCACTTACGGCGGGGCGGCCAGGACGGGAGGAAGTTCGAGACTCCCCCGGCTTATGGCGACTATCATGGGAGATAATGGGTGAATCCATTTTGGAGGAACCTGAAAATAATATTGTACAGTGTAGTTATGAATCTGAAATTAGATTTACTGCGAAGATATTCTGCTGAGAAATAGCATCGGGGAGGCAGGGACTCACTGAGGATGCGATGCCTCTCCAGGGAGCCAGTCTGGGGTAGATTGGATATGATGCTTATACTGTCTCCTCTCTCCCAGCGATCATTGCGGCTGAGATCTGGATTGCTGCCATGGGGATACAAATCAGTCATCTCAAGTTGTCATTACAGCTCACCACCATTTAAAAGGCACTAATTTACGGAAATATCTGCTTAGAGCTTTTGGCTCTCTTCAGTACCTGGCTCTTACTGGATGCCGAATGCCAGATGTTAGGTTGGTGTTGAGAGCAGTGGCAATAGAAGCTGTCCTCTGGGGAATCTAAGGACAGCGACATCATATTCTTACATTTACCAGCAGTTTACAAAAACTGAAGCTTAGAAAGTGATCAAAGACCTAATAAGCAATCGTGATTTCCTAAATAACTACCCAAGATGAATGTTTACTGTATATACAACCTTCTGAGATAATCACATAAATATAATGCTTAAGTTTGGCTCCTCAAGAGTTTTTTCAGGATGTAAGCAACTGAGAACAGGGCACCACCAAGAACAAGCAGTAAATTAAAAAAACTGCTAGAAAGTGAGACCCTTCAACGTCAGATTGCCAGCTATAGTCCTGCTAACATGATACTGTGTGGATATGAGAAATGTGTTGTTATCTTGTGGATTGCACAACTAATGCTGAGTCAAAACCAGCCACTGGATCTTACCTTGGGTGGGAGTTCTACATCTGGCAGGCGGATCCAGGGGCCACGATCCTCTCTGATTTGATGTCCCTGCGGTGCTGGGGTTTCAGAAGTGGGGTCCGAGTTCTGACGCACCAGCTCTCTAGAGTGGATGGGGCGGGGTGTGGGGGTGAGGGAGGGATCCTGGGTGGGGAAGGCGGACATGGTCTTAGTGGGCTGGTCACAGAGGGACTGGGATCGAGGGACAGGGGCAGCATAAGGCTTTAGGGGAACCAGGTGAGCCATCTGGAACTGCAGAGGACAGGAGCAGCAGCAGGAGCAGCAGCACACCAGGAGGGAGGAGCAGCCGAGCGGAAGGAAGTATGCACAAGACAGTCGGAGAAACAGGCCGAAGTGGAGAAGGATGCATGATTGTGTTTGTAAATTAAAGTGATTTTGTCACATGTGGGTAATAAGTGGTAATAGATGTGTGGAAAGGGAAAGGAGAGAAAAGAAGAAAAAGAAGGTGTAAATAAGGTAGCACAGACAATTCAGGGTAGAGAAGCTGAAGAATTAAAGACAGAAAGGCACAAGCATCTTCTGCTGTTTTTCCAGGAGGATTTATTGAACAGAATTTTAAACCCACCTTGCCCTGCCCCCCTTGGGGTTCAACTGGCCTCTGCATCGGTGGGGTCTGCGCAGACTGGACCACTCCTGACTGGCTGATTGAGTCAGAGCGCGACTGGATGGCAGTGTCAGAGACTGTGGTGCAGATTTTAGGTGAGCCCTGTCTGTTGAGCTTACTTCGCTCCTCCACCTGGAATTAGGACAGTCAAAGAGGGATTTAGTCTGTAGTGCATCAGCGTGAGAGTGTGGCAATGTAATGCTTCAAATGCAGCTAACACTATTACCTCACGGGCCCAAGTGGGTTTATTGTTGGGCTCCAGGTTTTTGTTGTAGTGATACAGCTGGGGCTTCTTTTCTTGCTGCTGTTGTTGCAGAGACACCAAGTAGGCATGCTCCTGCTGCAGCTGTCTCTGCAAACGCTCTGACTGACGCTGTTCTTCAAGCTGCTTGCGCTTGTATTCCTGAGCGAAACAAAACACAATGCAGTCAATATGCTGCGAGCCTCAGACTGGACCCAACAGACACGTCAGGCAGGTTGTAACCAAACCACTGCATGTGGAAACAGCAAGTCTGCTTTTACTGCAGGCAAGATGTTTACAAATCTAACTGTCCACCACTGATTTTGATCACTGACATCATAACTCTTTTGGGCGTTATCATATCTAAGAACTCCTATTTTAGTATATTATATAATTAAGTCCACATGAGAAGAATATTGATCATGTCCGTAGCGAAACCTTTTTATGTTCTATATTCAACCGACTGCAAACATGAGTCAGCTGATTTATTGGTTTTTCATTGTTAAGTTGTAGGCATGGGTCTCGAAGCCTTTTGATTGCCACTGCATTCATAGGGAAACAAGAAAATAAAAGAAAAATGAAAGTCTTAGAGGTTAAAGAGTTCCCATCATGAGTCACAACAACATAGGTTCAACTTCACGTTGCTTTGTCTAAGAGCTGAGATAAGATCTAGTCGCTATCTGAGTGCATGGCATGAAGTTGCATTGACAAATATAAACAATCTTAAGGGCATCAATTAAATATATATTTTACCCGAGTTAAATACTTGTTCTCATTTTTGCTATTAACTGCTTAAACTGCAAATCATTACGGGAGATTATGATCATAGAATGCTATTCCGTTACGGAGGTAATAATGAGGATGGCTTTATAATGTAATAGACAAGACCCAATTGTCTGCTGTGAACAAATAATTGCTCTGACTTTTGCTGAGCTCCTACGTTCCTGTTCATGCTTCACTGCCCTAAAATGTACTTATTCCCTAATGAGAACGAGCACCAGAAAATTATTTTTTGTTTTTAATAAGTTTCGTTCTTAATTGAGCAGTATATTGTGGCTGACTGCACACTTCTTGCAGCTGCCAATCAAATCTAACCGGTCGTTCCTCTTGATTGGTGCTTTTTGCTGGTTTTAACAGGATTTTTGGAGGTGGACTTTTTATTATTTGATTTACATTTTACCTGCTACTACCTTAACAACATCTAATGAAAATCACAACAGGAAGGCTCTTACTGTGAAAAAGCTGCATGAAGTGCTAAGTTTGGCGTGGTAGATTTAATTAAAATAGCGGGAGAGGAATGGAGTTCATCTCATGCAGCTGTATTATACAGTTGGGAGCTAACAACAGGAGGGTGGCTTACATCTGCTGTACACAATGGACACTATTTCAAGATAGTGTTCCAAAGGTGGTTGGTCACAGGGCGCAAACTCAGAAAAATTTCAAGCTCACAGCACTGCTTCTGGGGCTTTGCATGTCATCTCTGTAATTGCCCTTGAACATAGCACTGACCCCCTAAAACTGCAGCAGGGGCAGTGTCCTGTGAGCTGACTCTGTGCTGTGGTCCCTATGAAAGCATGAATACACACAGGTATTACGTGTGTGTGTGTGTGTGTGTGTGTGTGTGTGTAACCTAGGAGGGATATGTGAAAAACAAAGAGTTCAGTCCAAATGACAGCAACTCCTACGCTCCACAGGAGGAAGCTAAAACAAGGATGCCAGGAATGTGGCAATTCTACCTTTCAATGTAGGCAAGATAGACTTAAAAACTGCCAAAAAAAATTGCCCAAAAAAACTAGGTCATTGCATGCCTTCTCAAAGCCCTTTGAAGACATGCAGTACTGTAGGAGCTGCATCCATACTCTAAAACATGTAGAGCAAATCTATGTTAAGGTCCTGCATATCTAGACTGTACTTTTTTATATATAAATTCTAGCATAGCTTTTCGAACCTGTTTGTAAACCCATTCATCTCAGCTGACTGTTACTCCACCTGAGAGCATCTACGCTGAGCACAAGCAGACATGATGTAACACTGCAGTATTTATTTTGATGAAAACAGAAGCAGCCATATTGACACCTAAAGTATATGTCAGTGCTAAACATCGAAGCTCCTTTATTGATGCGGTATTATTACCAAGAGGTGGACGTGGAAACCTCTGCAGTCAAAATAAGAAATGATTAAGGCGCTGTAATGACTAGTTACCATTAGCAGTGCCTGCTCCTGAAGCAGCTGCTGCTGAAGGATTTCTAACTGCCGCTGCTCCTCTTCTAACTTATGTCTGATAAACTCCTGAGGAAAGGTAAGAGGAAAGAATGATAAGCATTAAGGTGGCAAAAAAATGAAAGTATATGGGGGAGGGGTTGAAGATGGAAGCAGATAGGAGTTATGTAATGTTATTCCACTGACAGAAACCATGTGTTAACCTGGTGAGAAAAATCAACAATTCAGAGTATAAATCTTCATAACAGAACACACACTGTCCCTGTTAATAACAGTTAAAAGAGAGAAATAAATGTGAACATTAAAACATGGCACCAGCACTACGTAGAGATTGCCATAAATTGCTAGATTTAGAATAATTAAAGCATTTAGCAGCAACTATGACTGTTGTGAGGTAGCATACTGACATAAAATCAGTATTTGGCACTACAAGGTGATGATGCCAGACTCTTGTGTTAGTGAGGGTAGACTGGAAACAGAGCATAAGAGATGCAGAGAGCTCACCCACAGAAAACTCATCTCTGAGTAAATACACTAATTTAGACCCTTGCTGCTATGGCAACCTACTCATGGAATTTCACCACCAGAGCAACTTGCACAGTGTTGCTGACAGACACGCCCACATATCACACTGATTGGCTGATTGCAGCCTCATGTCTCCTGTGGTTGGTTACCTGCTCTCTCTCTGCCAGCCTTCTATCTTCCTCCCGTCTCATATCGTCAAGTCTCCGATGGGGACCCTTTTCTTGCTGCCTCACCATCTCTCGCTCTTTTCTCTGTTGCTGGGAGAGAAGGGTGACAGGAAGAAGAGAAATGAGCAGAGAGGCTATGGTTGTAAATAGGAATTAGCCTGCTGGTAAGCAAATTCTCCCCTACAAAGAGCTGGAAAAAAGGCAATAAAAAAAACAGGAGTGCAGGGTAGGGAACAGAGACAGTGAGTCATTCTCACAAACATACACACACCTATAGCATCCCAGTCATATTTTGAGTGTGCTGTTCTGATTCAGACAGGAAGTGACAGCTCCACGCTTTTGACAGGTAGCAGTGTTTTAACTACTGTTATAAGGGACATTGAAATAAGATTTGTTCTTTGTGGTGAAATGAGAGCCCCCAGCTTGGCAGTGCCACAAAACACTCTTGTCTACCTAGTTGTTGACTGCACTTAACTGTTGGACAAAAGAGCTAGATGAGATAGACGAGGAGGTGGAGGTAGATAAGGGCAGTGGAACCTTACTGCAGTAAAATACCTTCGCAATACTGCACAATGCTTATAGCAACAATAGTGCAATTATGTGTGCCTCATTCAATCCCACATAAGTCCTCAGAGACTTCACAGCTGCTGACACTTTGTAGGCAGCCCACCAATTAGCTAGGATATGTAGGTATGTCTTTCAAAGTCTTCAGTTACATGCTCACCCTCTTCACAAATAATGTCTAACATATCATTTTGTCAACTCTTTACTGCATGTCAACTTCAAAGCAAGTTCAGACGCTCAGCAGAGAATACAGCTTGTTGATTCTGAGGATAGAGATTCTGGGAATGTGAAATATTTGCAAGTGAATGTATTACTACTGTTTGTCAGCTGCTACAATATTTAACCAATACTTGTATACACTGTATCAGTCACCATGTAAAGTAAAAGACTGTTCATGGCAGAAACATTGAGAGGAAAGGTAAAATATAAAAGGATAAGAGAATTGCATGTCATGAGCAATCCTGATTCTGTCAAAGCATCTTGTTCTAGGCTACAAATCATCCCATTTGAGCAATTGTTTAGAATATTAATAATGCATATCTGTTTTCCTCAGAGCTGTTACCTTAAATAATCTCACTCTTATGTCTACATTTTCCCCATTTATTGAAAGCTAGTGACCAAAACTGTGAAAAGGTACTTTTCCAGGGGAAGATGACCTCACAGAACATGCAACTAGTTATCTAGTCATGAAGGCTTTGGACTGGGGACATGAAAATATGATTAGTGTTTTGCTTGTGGTGCTTAGGTCTCATTTCCAAATTTCTAAATCTGAACTATTTAAACCTTGTTACGCTTACATGTCCTTTTATTACATATACTTACAGTTTATACATTCAACATGTTACTGCCCACAGATGAAAGCAAACCATAAATATTGTGCACTTATGACAAAGGCAAGCAGTGGCAAAAGAAATTCTCATGTGAAGATCAGAGACTTGATAATGAGCAAAGAAAAGGAAACCATGAGCACTTATTGTAGTCAAGCGATAAGAACAAGTGCAGACACATTACACACAAGGAATCTCATATTGCGTTGTACAGTTTTGCTTTGAATTAAAAATATCGTGTTGAATAATGTATTAGTGTAACAAGCTTCTAGCTAAATGTGCAGGATTACAATGAATTACAAAATCAAGGTCAATTTTGAAAGCAAGTCTGAGATGCTTTTGTTCTACCCCAGACCTAATACAATGTGTTTGCATTTTATAAATGGATTAAAACGAATCAAAACCCACACCAGACAACAAAAACACAACGATAAGCTGCAAGTTTGTTGTAACATTTGGGGTAAACGTATTATGCAACACTATTGTGAATGTGTACATCTAAACAACACACCTAATTAAGATGTTTTCATTTTCTGGACTAGGGAGGGGATTTATGCATGGGTGGCACAAGTGCTAACAATAAACTTAAAAAACAGCTAAAAGTCTACTTCTTTGTAACACGGTATCCCAGTGTTGCTTCTTTCTAGTAATATGCCTTCTATCAACAGTGTTGAGTTTGGGGGCACATTTGATTTTGAAGGTCCAAGACTTCAAATCTCACTAGTGGGTACAAAACCGTGATCATCTTGGGCAATACGGGGCTAAAGATGTGTCAGACTTTACAATAATCACAAAACAGGAATGTTAAATTAACAGGAAAAAAAACATTACCCTTTCGGTTTAAAGAAAGAGTTTGACATTTGGGGAATTAGATTTATCTGCTTTCATACAAAGAAGATAAAAAGATAAAGACTGATACCAGTTTCATGTCTGCGTGATAAGTATGACGTTCTCTATTCATAGCAGTTGCCAAGACATAGCTGTTGTACAAGTTTTACGTGCTGATGGGCTTTTTTGTTTTTTTACTTTGGAGGCAGCCAGGCTCTAGATCCATATTTAACATACAGATATGGGAGTGGTATTATTGTAATTGTCAGGAGCAAAACAATAAGTGGCACTTTTCATAATGTCAAACTATTTTGTTCCCTAGTTGACCATTACCTCTTCAAGACGGCGACGCTGTTCCTTCTGCTCTTCAATGCGTTTTTGCCGGTCATGCAACAGTTGCCGTTTGTGCTCCTCAGGATCCCGGCGCTGAGCTGCCAGTTGGGCCTGCTGCCGCTTGTGAGCCTCCGAGCGCTCTTTGTTCTCCTGCTGCAGACGCTGGAAGTCCCGCCTCAGGGTGGACTCACCGGGCACATTAAGAATGGAACTAAAGATATTGAGGGAGAGGATTTTCAGAGGATTATTCTCACAGAGAATCCAAGTCAAAGATTCGCTCTCCTTGGACAGAAATGATATAGTGTAATTACCTTGACTCTCGGTCATCTCCACGATTTTCATCCTCTTCATCACTACCACTGTACTCGTATTCTGTCTCTTCTACGAGGAAAAGTGGAATAAAGAGAAGTCAAAACATTACATGAATGAATATTGTTGCATGCAAACTGACAGAATACTTTGGTTGAATTGCACTGTTACACCTTTTGTGCCTCTTTGCATGTCATCTGCTCACCTTTTTCTCCTCTTTTCTTGCGTGTACGATCAATGTGGTCTTTGAGCTGAATTCGGACCTGCCGTTCAGTGGGCTGGTCCCTGATGAAGGAATGCTTGAGCAGCTGCTCTGTGGATGGCCGGCTGGGATATGTCTTCACAAGACAGCCCTCTATAAAGTCAATAAATTTCTTGGACCTAGAGGAAGGAGGAGGTCAGAGGCCGATAAACTTGAGAGGGAGAGCGGTAGGGAAGGGAGACATCAAACAGCTGACAGTTGGGCCGATATTGCCCAGAATCCTGATCCAACAGTAATTAGAGATTCATGTGGGACAAAGTGTTTGGCAACTTTTTGCTGAATTCATTTTATTTGTATTCAACTGATCATGTAACCGGGTCCATTATTTACCTATACTTCTATATTGGCATGATTAGAGTTCCAAACACTGTGGAAGAAACGCTGTATTGTGAGTGCTGTGGGGCCATAAACTCAGCTAAATGGGTGAATTAATGATTAACAGAAAAAGTCATAGGAGCAAAAAACACAGGGTAGGAAAAAAAAGAGATGACAAATCAGTCTAAATGCCTTGAGTTACTTGTGTTGTGCACAATTGTATTTGCTTCAGTACTGAGACAAAAAGTACATGACCTTTTTGCACTCTGAAATCTGAGCGAGCGACAGCTAACACAAATGCACCCAAAGTAACTGGAGCACATCTGCTTTGGAAAGCTGAAAAATTTCCTGCAATTTATTCTACAATCAGCATTGTTTCCATTCTGCGCTGTTCTCATTAAATGTGTTTATATGCACTTAGCCTGGTTATTGTTGCCCAACAATAACCTGATTAGTAAAGTCACCACGCTACTACCCTGCATGTAAATGTGTCCTCCTGGAGTTCGCCAGTGAACTGTTAGTTATTATCATCATTATCATTTCACCTTAATGCTAAGAAATTAGCCACAGATGTTATAAATTTACACTGTCCATTGTGAGGAACTCTGCTTTGTCTGATTCCACGTCACACTAAATACAAATGCGTGCATGTAACTTGATAGAAAACTGACTGGAATAGAAGTGACATCATAACAAACTTAAAATTACTATCATGCTTCTCTTGTTTTAAATTATTTTGCTCAGCCTTCTCTTCATTTTTTGTTTGGCAGCATGGTGTAGTTTTGAGGCTTTAACACACTTAACATCATGTAGAGGGAGCCTGTTGAGTGTTCAGGATATGACAAATGTAAATAAGCAATTCAAGAAGAGATAACAGGATGCTCACTAACTCACCATTTCTTGGACTTAAGTTTTGGAGGGGGATTCCTGGGAATCAGAAACAGGGCCCTCATCGGGTGCATGTCACACAATGCTACAGAAATAAAGGAGATTATGAAAGTTAAACCCTCTTGAACAAGCTGAAAGCCATGGCACAAAGAAAAAGGCACATCAGAATAAATTTAATGTAAGGCAGGATATCATCTATCCCAAACATGGTAGTTTAGAAATAATACTAGCCACCATTACATGTTTTTTTGTATCCTAAAACACGGTTACAGCTGCTGTTATCCAATCTTTCCTGGTGCCTCAGGCTTATTGTTACATTGAATGTAAGAGCAAGGACTGTGAGTCATTGTGTTCCCAGCGTAGGTAGGTAGCTAAACCTGACTGGTTAGCTTTAGAGTTTCACAGTAAATAGGCTTTTGTAACGCAGCCTTTTGGACATATGCAACGTGACTGAGACAGCCAAAGGCAAGCAGAAAAATTCATTTCAGCAGTTTAAGGGCCACATTAAAACAAGAGGAATCATGAATATACTCATAATGTGTGCTTCATATAACATGCATTCATTTAAATGAATGGCTCACCCACTGATAGGCTGTTGGCAGTATCAGTGGAGGATTTAGTACACAGAGTTACATTCCATCATCTCATTTAGTGCTTTACCACATACCTACGGTGAACTGTTCTGTTTGTTCAGGATTTAGCTGATAAATTATACAGATAGGCCACACGCTCTGTATTAAATGATTTTCCTTTTTTCCCCAACTGTACTGACGGTTCTTGTTTTCTTTTAACTGTTTGTGTACCTTAGGTGAACAGAGGAGATAGAGTATCCACTACCAAATAAGTAAATACAGGTCAGGTTATGAGTACATAATATTCATGGCATAATGTGACTAAAAATATCAACTGCTGATGTTTTTAGAACTGTGACAGCAGCTCTAAACGCATAACTCAGTAAAAACAGCTATTTAGTTGCTACAATTATAATTATCTGCATAAAGAGTAAGACAACAACCAGGACCACTATGAATGATGATTTTCTTCACTGACTAATCAGCAAACTTAGACTGTAAAACTCCTCCTCAGGGGTTCTTGTTCAGGGATCACCATTTGATATAGTTCAGATTTCAGAAATCATTTAAATATCTACAGATGCTCGCTGGTCTGCACCAAGTCTGTTGTTATCATTTCAGTATAAAATAACCAGATTCAGATGATTTATTATGCAGCAAATACTAGTTTATTATGTTTATCCATAATTCATTTAGGCCAATAAGGCTAGCAGGTAGAGTGCACTCAGTGCACTGTAGTCCATTTAGCTAATCTAGAGATAATGTGCTGCTTTTTGTCCTTGTTACCAATTAATAGGTTAAAAATTACGTAAGATTTTTTGTTGACTACTGTTGTATTATTTTCTTTAGCAAAGATTCGCAAAACATAACTCGATACATTTATAACGCATTTAAACAGAGAAATTAACTGATCAATAAAGCTGTCTTACAATATTTTCTTTTGATCAACTGACTAATTTACTGACTAATGGTTTTAGCACTACTACTAAAAAACACTTCATCGAAAAACAAGGAAAACAGCATCTTTTTAGTGGAAAACACAGTTCAGTAACCAGCCTGATGGAGTGACTAAGTACACGCTGCATAATTTATAGTCGTACATCAACACCAGCTTGACAGTTGGCCTGTATGCCCTATGTCATTCACAGCAGCAAAAACATGGTCTGAAGGAGCTCTGTCGTCTCCGTCAGTGATGTGAAGAACTGGCTTTCAGAACATTTAGAATTTTCAGTGACAGTGGTACAAATTTTACTGAACTAAAAACCTTGACTAAACAAACCAAAAGATGCTTTCCAGACATATGGGGCACATAAAAATATTCTGCTCGTTTCCCCTCAAGAACTGTTTGTTTACCTTGACAGGACCTAATAAAATGACATCTACTGCAGCTTTCTCACTGAGTGAATCTGAATATGGAAAAATATTCATTTCAACAGTTCAACAACTGGACACATTACATTTTCAGTGTGTGCACTGCAGGGTTCACATCCTCTCAGTCTTCGGTAAGTTTCATATCGAACCATGTTTGCCTTCCAAACTACTCACAAAATCCTAAACTGTAAGCAAACGCTTTAAACTAAGATTAAAGGTGATGTGGAAAAAGCCCTCTAGTCTCAAACTCTGCATAGTTAAATGTAGAACCACATTCAGCTGTGTGAGCTACTTGAGTTGAGTCACAGTGGTTAACACAGACATTCTTCATCAAACTTCCACAAACATTTTAGCTGCTAGTCTTCAGTGAGATTTGTGTTGTTTCTTTGGTTTCACACCAAATCTCTAGGCAGACAGATCTCCCCACTAAGCAGACCAGAGAGAACTGTACAACCAGCCTCCACAGGCCAACTGCCAGCTCACGACTACACTACCTTGATTACAGTGAGTCAGCTGTCCATCTGAAGACACAGACAGCAAGCCCGCATATGCAAGACAGACTCATTCATGAGGTCTTTTAGAATGGGTTTTGATAGGATGAGAAATTATATGTTGCTTAGTACATAGAAATACACGATTCACCAACAAGCAAGCAACATAGGTGTGGGAAAGAAGCGTATAGACTTACGAGGAGCTCCCTCTGCCATCTCGATAGCTGTGATCCCCAAGGACCAAATGTCACTCTGCAAAGCACACAGGGGAACAGGTCAGTTTCTTTCTTTCTAATGGTCTTACAGCAGAGTACACACACACACACAAACACAGTGCTGCTGTGCTCACCCTGTAGTCATAGGTGGAGTCAGGGTTCTCATCACAGGCAATAACTTCAGGTGCCATCCAGTACGGTGTCCCAATGAAGGTGTTTCTACGTCCAACAGTCCTGTCCAACTGAGCACTTACTCCAAAATCGACTGTGAGAAAAGGAATCAGAGAAGGGAAACGTATAAGACGACGTCAGATAGCATACAGCAGACCTACGTCAGTAAAATGAATTTTAAATGATTCAACATACCGAGTTTGACCTCTGCATTCTCTGTTAACAGCACATTCTGGCCCTTAATGTCTCTGTGGATAACTTTATGGGCATGGAGGTGAGAAAGGCCCTGCACACAGACAAACAAGCCAAAATAGATCAGTAAGTAGTGACCTCTACGGCAGACTTGTTTTGACTGATGCAGCTATGGTTTCTCACCCTTAGGATCTCTCTGCAGATGTACGCGATCCAGTCCTCCTTTAGAGAGCTGCCCTTAGTGTTTTTCACCAGGTCGGTCACCGATCCCGCCCCGCAAAACTCCATCACCAGCTACGTGCAGATAAACATGAGCTTAGCAAAGAACAAATAATGACGCATGCTGCTATAAAACCATCAGAACAGGTACGAGGGTAGACAGACCCAAAGTTGGTCATCGTGTCCTGGTGGACTCTTCTTTACAAAGGCACCGTAGTACGTGGCTATGTTGCGGTGGTGGCTGTATTTTTTCAGCATGTTGATTTCTGCTTTGATCTCCTCTTCTTCCTCCTCTGTAACATCCATCACCTTGATAGCAGCCAGCTGGCCTGTCTTCACGTGACGGCCCTGATTAAAGAACACGTTGGATCATTGCAGCAGAGTTCTGTTAGGTTTCAAATGAACCTCAGATGCCTCCATGCTTCTAAAACTCTTGGAATTTTGCCCATTAAGTGTGGCTAATTGCTTCTTCACATCATTTTACTGTTCTTATTTTACATTTTCTTTTACTGGAGTCTTTTGTCTTCTTGTCATCACCACTTTACAATTAGCCTGATTGCTAAAAAGCTATACTTACATAGCAATAAGCTAAATATGCTGTAATCAAAGAGCAGGAACTAAAATGAGCTTAGGAGCCACATTGCACCTTGCTTAGTCATTGCACAAGTGACCACCTAAATACTGAATGATTCAATCTGTAATAGAAATCCTATTTTATCTGGATGCGATATAGACATCATGGCTCACCTTGTACACTTGTCCATATGTCCCATTGCCAACAACCTCGACCAGCTCAAAGATACCTGCTGGATCCTATGGGAGACAGAGGCAGATTAATTTGTTGTATACCTTCATGCTTTCTGTGTGGTAAGCAACATCAGCTTAACAATTTTAAGAAACAAAAAGCCCCATGTTAAAAAAATGTATTTTAATAAAATAAAGTCCAAGTCCGTTTGTTTTTTTCCAAATTTGGGAAAGGCAAAATTCCAAAGATTAGCACACTCAAAGCACACCATATTTATTTTTGCTTTTTAAGTGGGTGATGCTTGCTTTGTTCGTCTTTGAATCCTCCACATTTACACTTCAATACCGACCCTAAGTGGAGGTTGTATTTCATGTTGTTACACTCATGTTTCTTAAGAGTCATCCTTAAATACTGAAATTCTAATGAACTGCAACCTGTTTTAGTAACTTCTGCAATCTGGCTGCTGTTATATTAGTACAAAGGCTGAATTACAACAGGTCTAAATACAAAACACAACTGAGAACAGAAAACAAAAACAGACCTACATAATGCTACAGGTAATTTTTTTCCCCTTGTGTACCATCATTAACTGAGCATGGCTGTAGATGTACAGACCCTAGAGTGTCATAAAAACACATAAGCCTCTGGAGAATAGAAACCATAAATGACACAAAAAAATAGTTTATTACGGTGTACTAAAGCCAATTTGAATCCAACACTAAGATTCCATTTTTCCACACAAATCCTCTAAACTCACTATTCCTTCGCCACCCACTCACTACCCACCCACAAAACTTTGCATGGAAGAAATAGACACTCACACACTTCAAAAATTTCTAGTAAATTTGATACACAAAGATGGATTCTGTCAACATGGACAAAACATCTTTTTTCTTTATTTATTTTTTATTTGTACACTTTATATTCCAGTGCCTTGAATACATTTTTTCACTGACACTAATAATGAGTAGGTTGCTTTGACTCAATTATGCAACCCCCTCCCCCTAGAGACAAGGGAAAATGACAAGCAGTTCCACTTTCATGTAATTTCAATATGGCTTTAAGAAGATGTGTGGGTGGAGAGACTGCTGCTTTGGGTTTAGAATGTACACCATGACCTATCCTGCTTTCATCTATTTCCAATGATGGGTTTTCTGCTTCAACAAGGAGGGAAAGATCTTCCTTTAGGACAAGGAATTTAAGTGAAAAATAGCATATTTATGTTACATATTTCACATGTATATAGATACATTTAGCATTGGTTTTGCAGTAAAACTAAGAAATGACCACATATTCGAAGCAAAAACACATAATAGCATAAACACACTGGACAAATTTCAAAGCATGTTTTGCATAAGGACACAAAAGATTGGGAGAAGGGGGGGTGCCGTGACGTGAAGAAGGAAGCTAGAGAATGATGGTATGGAAGTGAATAATGTAATGATAGAGTGGGTGGCATGGCAGAGGCGGTAGCTTCACCCACGTCCAGCGCACAGAGTGGGATGAGAGGAATGAGGTGATAGAAGGGGAAGGGTACAGTTATGTTCGAGGAGTAGCACCACCAGTACGCAGTCGAACAAAGTGTCTGCGATGATTGCAAAAAAGGAAAGGTAGTAGGAGGGGAAATCTACACTCATCCTGCATAAATAAATTAAAAAAAAACAGCAGCTCTGATACTTCATGTGGATATTATGATGTCACGTTAACAAACCAGATCAATACAATGGAGAAGAACCTCAGTGAACAACGCAATTAAATTACCTAAATGTCAAGTTGCAATAAACAGGTTGCAAAAAGAACACTCTCAGTTCAATGTGGTATGCACTCTAAAAAAAATAAAGCACTGGTAATAGTCCAAAGGGAAGTTGACGACACATTTCCTGCAGGGGTGTCAACTTAGCTGACAGTGGAAGTCTTTAAAAAAAGAAAAAAGGAACACTGCACTATCTGTGGTTACACAGCTGCAATAATCATCCACATCTCAAACACTTGCGTTTCCTGAATATCATTAGAGATCTATGTCCTGCTAAACTGTTTTTAAATTGCAATGTATGTGAGGTCATACATTATCACAATGTGAAATGTAAAAAAATAATAACAGGACAGCGGAGAAAATGTAGTTTGCAATTATGGACCACTTAAATTTCATTGTGTCAGTGGTGGTTCCAATAAGTGCAAACCAATCATAGTCAGAGCTTTCATTAACATTACAGCAATCATCCTTCTTACACTTACGTAAGGTTGTTTCTGCCAAACATAGCCACTGTGGAGTATCTGACTGCAACAAAATAAAATCATAAGACTAAATTTCTCATGAGGTCCATTTCCAGAGGGCTGGTGTTTCCTGCTAATCAGCATCCAGTGTTCTCATTACGCTCTGAAAGCTTTTGTTTGAAACTGAAAATGGAACATCAAAGTCTTTTTTTTCCAATAGTTCTACATTAACAAGAAAACAGGTGAAACCGGGACATTTTTGTTGTCACTTTTTGCTGCTGTATTTCTAAATGTGCAACTTATGCCACGTGTAATCAGCATAATTATCCCGTTGACTTGGTTCTACCCAGTGCGATTGGCATTAGAGTTAAGTGTTGTTGCACAAATGATTTGTTGATGCCTGTGTGCAGTGAACTGTTGTTATATAATGCTGGAATCCTTCTGTACTCTGGAGCAAATTTCTTGAAAAACACTGTGATTGTGCCGCTGAAATGTTTTTTTAATGTCTAGCTGAACTTTGAAAATGTTCCTCCAGAAGTGGGTCTCTGTTTTGTTTATCTCGTTCACAAGCACAAAACGCACAAGCATGCACACACGTGGGTGACGCAGTCCACAGTCCTGCCAATGGTTTCACACTATTCCATTATCCAACAGGTGATGGTAACACCCCAGATATGCTGCAATGCGCCAACAAAGGCAGTTAACAAAGAATGCTAGCTAGTAAACAATTTAAAATACTAAAAAAATCGCCTCTGCAAATGTTTTATGTGGAAGAAAATACATTCAACACTCTCGTTAGAGTTCAAGGATACGCACGATGCGTGGTGGTGAATTACACTGACTGTAAACATAACTTACAATATTTTTTTATTACGAGTATCTTTAAATGGTTCGTTCACAAACTTACACTTGTCTCCACTGGTAGCCGGCTGTGCAGATTACGGCTGTGAAACTTCTTAATGAAGTGGATGTAAGTATATTTTATGTATGCTATCCAAATTTTACAGTTTTCTAATAACAACAAAACTAACCAATCAGCAATTGCTAGTGTAACATTGGAGACAAGAGCCCTAATTAGCTTCCCACCAACAAACACAGCCAATTTCCTTCAGTGGTATACATAAATAAATAAAACAAAACAAACAAGTTTTTATTATTACATATCTTGACAATGGTGTGGAAGAACTTCACCATGAATCATCCTTTCTTTTAACAACCTGTTGGGCTTACTGTTAGCTAATTAACTGATGCTGGGTCTGTACATATTATTCGTTTTTACCGTATTGTAACATTCAAGCATTACTCCAATTTAGAATACCACATGACAAATTGCATTGCAGTTTTTCAGAAAAGAAATCAGTTACTCTGGGCCAAAATACCAAACAAACTGCTGTCAGACTCCACTGAAACTGATAATTACATTTCTGAACTCAATTAAGGGTTCTGTTTCCATTCAAAATTATACTATGGGCATCTGCTCATGTTTCCATTTTCGATAGATATATTATAAAGAAGTGGGTCACTGCCGTCAGTGTGCTGGGATTTTGAAAGACGAGATGAGATTCTCAGGTGAACCGTCAGGGGCGAGGTAAGACAAGACCAAACAGTATTTGGATAAACTGCCCTGATCTACCGTTAAGCCCCATAAACATGTGAAAGCTCCTGTGAAGTGCCAAAGAGCTTCTTAATGCTTTCAGGGGAAACAGGGAACCCTCGAAACTAACTTTTAAATGTAATTGACGTTTTTAGTTGTAATTAACATCACATTTTAGTCAGCTGTGATTGCCTTAACATTATTCATTTTGGTAACGTTTTTTTTTTCTATGGAATAACCATCAAGAGGAAAGTCACATTTTATACATTTAAATTAGAATCTCACATCCTCAGTACGTACATTCTAATTTCAGTCGTAACCGTTTGGTCTCATAAACTCTTGACAGTGTTTAGAGGAGGCCATCCAATGCAAAAGTGGGTGAGACAAGCCTGTAGCACATTGTCTTAAACAAGCAGTGACTGAGCACATTAAGCCTCTGTTTATACAGGTAATAGGTGTCTGTCTTAAGTGGATTTACTGCTGCCAAAAAAGTCTACATCTTATTGACAGCTTCCATTATGATGGAGAAATAGGTCAAAAGGGAGCATCATGACTGTGGTCTTCATTCAGAAACTATGCACTTGGAAAGAGGATTTGTCATCAAATTAGAAAAGCTCACTTTTTCCAGTTTTCCTTTCTTTCCGAGCAAAGTGTTTCTAAAGCTACAAAGGGGCGGTCCAAAAAGTCAGGTAGACCCAAAGGATTGAAGTCTTCAAGGAAAACCATTGACAACATCAAGGAACAACGTCTAGAACATTTTCATGTGCAAAGTCTGACATCCTGCATTTAACAAATATACATATCAGAATGCTGTCAGTAACTGAAACTTAACTAAACCAAAAACATCAAAAATCCACCATTTAACTTGTGAGCACTGACTGTCAGGCCCCATGTGAAAACACAACTGCAAAACAACAAGTTATAAATGGTAGTTCAGAGTATAAAAACAGCCTCTTGGTCATTAAATGATGATCCCTCCATGGCTGCTGCATACAACACACAATAACTGCATGTCAACAACAAGTGTTTGTGCTGTTGCCTGTTAATGCCCTGAGGGCAGGAGCAGCCTTGATTGCCTTGTTTTCTATTTTTACCCAGATACTCAACACAAAAAGTTGCCAGGGCTGCAAAAATTTCGTTCTTTGGGTGGATACATCAAGAAATATTTGAGGTGGATATCTGTGATAATAAACTGCACAGCTGCCCATTGCACACCAGGCCAAGAGGTGTTTATCTCACCTTAACTTTTTCTGCGTGGGTGTTGAATGGTCGTGCTTGTGTCTGAGACAAACTGATACGTGACATAACATCTACAGAGCCCGTCTGCCATCATTTTTACACGAATAAAGTGCAGCACACTTATGCTGTAATAACAATACTCACCCTCAGAGCTGCGAGGTCTATGTCATCCAGGCTTCGTGTGGGGGCGTTTTCAGACATAGCTGCAGAAACTTAGCTAACAAGTTAGCCAGTGATTTCACAAGAAGTACAAAGGGGGGTTTAGGTGGCTGCTTAAATCAGCTTGTCAGGGCCTGATTATGTACAGAAAATGTCCAGTAAAAGGTCCAGTATCCTGAAGCTGTTGCGGAACAACACGGCAGCACTTAGATTAGCAAACACATCGCAGATAGAGGTGCCACAGACGCACCCAGCTGGCTAGCTCACGTCAACTCTGGCCGAGAGCTATAATGTTATCCGCAGTTGTTTTACAGAAATACCAGCTGCAATATCTGATCAAAACACATTCAACTCAAAAGAAGATATTTCAACAAACTGTTCACGTCGCTGTTAGCCGGCCATTCGAGCCCATCTAACAACTGGCAGGTCTTAAATGCAGTGCACCTCCACTGTTGTTGAACACCTTGCTGCGTTCATTTTGACAAGACGCCGCGGCTCTGCTGCTGTACAACATCCCAGCTAATGTTATTTAGGATACAAAGATTCGTGTCGCGGAGAGAGAGAGAGAGAAAAAAAAAACTACCACATAGGTGTGATGTGTCAGTGAAACACTCCTGGTTCCGCTGATGAAGTATAAAAAAACATTTAGTGCTGAGCAGCGCAACGGTTGTTTTTAAGGAGAACGCAACGTCTGATGTGATGGCGTCCGGGTCCGTCCGCACCGCACCAGAACCGACTGTCAGGCTCTCATTATTAGCCTTAAATAGCTGTCCTCCCGGAATATTACTAAGCAATAAGAGCGGAAAATGGAAATAAAGGCCTCGTTTGAAATGCGAATCCCTGCGGCTGCAGTTGTCAAACTTGTTAACACGACTTAAATGTTCCTGAAAGCGCTCAGTAACCCGAACAGCGAGTCAGGTGCGCGCGATCAAGCTGACATTAACTGGCTAGCTAACGTGGCTAAGCTAGCAGGCTAAAAAATTGTCTTTTCCAGGATAAACTTTCCTCCTTCATCCATTTTCTGTGTTGACAGTCGCGCCTAGCACTGCCAACCTTCCGGGGGAAAACACAGTCAGGCAGGCAGACAGGCAGGCACTATGTTCTCGCCAGCCACCGTAATACTTGTTAAGCTGGAGCACTCGACTCTTTAAAGTTGAGCGTCGCTGTCGTTCTTCGGCGTCCGTCTTTTTTTTTCAAAATCAACTTGTAGTCCAACACTGCAAGATGCGGTGCAGTTGGTAACTGCGGATAACAGCCAAACTTGTTATTTCGCCATGTTTTGCTTCCCAAGTCCTCCCTCCCACTCCCAGCCTTGATGTAGTCTTGCGGGGTTGTACCGACGATTGGCTGCACGCAGCACTCCTCAAGTGTTTTCTGCTCTTCAGTCGCTACGGTGCTTCACCAGGGACAAATTACCTGAAAAATTACCGCGGACCTCCACCTACGCAGCTGCCTTGTCTGCCCCGAGCTGCCCAGCTGAGGTCATCCTCTCATATCCCTGTCCTGCATTGGCCTTTTTGCTCACTGAATACAGCCCATAAGCAGAATAAAACTATATTGCTCACTACCGAATAACCAAAAGTACACTGCAGTATAACAGTTTTACCATTATCATTTTTTTCCTGGTATTTTTTTTTTTTTTTAACTCTGCCACCCTAACAGCTTTATGATTGCTATAGTTATTTCTCCACTGCCCTACCTTATTTTCAACAGACCATAATGCTTTTAAATAATGCATGATTCACGTCCACCAAGGGTTCAAGAGAACAACCTGGCATGCCATAAAACACTGAAGCTCTGTGGCAATAACCTGCCCAGTGCATTGGTGATTTATTGGATATTACAGCCCTCACTTGGAACTTTACTTCATGTTTGTATTAAATACCAATTTCCCCTAAAAAACACATTCAGTCTCTCTTAAAATAATATAGGCATTAACAGATCAGTGATAACTGTGGTATACAGAGGATACAAACCTCAACAGTTGGTATAAAATATCAAACGTTAGAATTTTTCTTGGTTTTTCTCTTGCATTCTGTAATAAACACACACATATATAGACAGCAACTTTGGGAAAAGCTTGTGTGGCATTATTCACTACATAATACACACAATATTATTCTAAAATATACAATTATAGTCAGATATGCAAATCCAATCTTCTTTGAAAATCACCTGTATGTATTTATTAGGTACAAATATACCGCATAAATTTATTTAAAAGTTGCAAACAGGAAGCTTGTCATTTTGATTTGAATTAGGTTAGGATCACTATATTCTTCTACTGATACCTGTGAAATTTTTAAAAATGAAAGTGACACCATGTTAATAACACACATATATCAGAAATTAGCACCAGTTACTATCTAGTTGACACATCAACACTGGAATAACATTCTTATGTAATTAATTTGTCAAAAAAGAGACAAAACACACAATATACAGCGTTAAAGATTTGCTTGGCTGACAGTATTCTTTTTTTCCTCTCAATCGTTGATAGATCAATGACACTGGATTACAAAAAAAATATTTTTTTGAAGGTGTCTAGAATTTTCCTAAATGTCCTAAAACTGATTTAGGACATTTTTTTGCAACACTGAATCCAAAAATGACATCTGCTGTTCTGTATCAGGTCAGGTTTTTATGCCAACTTGATTTTTTTAAAAAAATTTAAAAAATCAATTTTGCCACTAAATCGATCACATTTTTTGACATTATTTTAGTGTTTCTCATATGAAATCGGATTTTAGAGGAAAAAATTAATTTCCTAATCCTTTTCATAAGCTACATGATCCAAAAGTTGATGAGTGTTAACATTTGTAAAGGTAAATACAAGCAAATGGCATCTTTCATCAGCATTGCTCAAAATTCAGGGCTTGAATTTGCGCTTCTTGGAACTCCTGGAATGATCAGCAGCGGGTATATCTCTCTCCAGAGTCCAGCAGTAATCAGCCATCACGACTGCTTCCCAGCGTCACTGATACCTGGTCTCCATCTCTTTCATGTCCTGATGGAATCTCTCCTCCTCATCATCACTCATTGATCTGAGATTCTCAGGAAACCATTCAATATGTGAGAGCAGGTAGTACCAGCTTGTAAAGGTTTCAGAATTTGCTCATTTCAGAAACTAGAAAAAGAATTTTGTATGATACAAAGCCCGCACATGTACACAACAATGTAACCAAAAAAAGTGCATGTGGCGACAAATCTAATTTTTGACCTTATTGAGCAAAACCAATGTAATATTTGGATTCAGCACATTGCAAGTGTCCAAAATCAGCTCAAAAAACTTTGACACCAAAATGGGTGTAGACCAGTGTAATAATAATAACAAGAATATTGATACTGTGACTTGTCGGATAAATCTGATATGACAGCTCTTATTAGAATTATTATAATGGCTGAAGGGTGTTTTGTCAAATTAAAGTAAAAAGTAGATGTTCAGTTCAGTTCCATAAAAAACAGGTTTATTGAGGAAACATGAAAAGTAATATACGTTAAAGTTACAAGTTGTTTATAACTGCACTTAAAAGGATTAAGTATTAATGTTCATCATTTCTCTACCCCTGAGCGTTAGTAACCCATATATCAGTAAGTCTACGGTAATACACTAGATCTACAGATGTGCTTACACAAAGTTTTCACATGGTGACTGTTAGGGATAATCACAAACGTTTCCATAAGTAACATATTAGTAATTCATCCATAAAATATATTGGCAATGCTGGCTATTAGTTCAATAAAAATAAAATTCATGGTAGAAACAGTATAAGGTCACTTCTTAGTTCATCGCAGACATTTCTGTAGAATATAACAAAGAATAAGGCAACCATTTTGTGCTGTATGAGAGAGGCTAGCAAATATCCAGCTTTCAGCGTGCGAGGGCTCATAATGGCTTTTAATATCTTCTAAAGGGTCGGGTAAACAGTTCTGAAGCCAGCAAAGCACCATTTCTGAACACAAATGGTCACAGTGAGTCCTCTGTGAAAGGTGCTTCATGTAGAGTGAGGCGGTGTGGCATCTGTCACATTCACACACAAACTTGCATTGAACCACTCGGGTGGTAGTTGTTGACTTACAGGCATGTGTCAAAAGCTTACGCCACAGTCTGCACAAGTCTCGTTAACAGGTTCACAAAGTTCACACTTTTTCATATTATGAACTCAATTATGGTAATGCCGTTTCATCTATTATCTGGTCTCTTTAAAAAAAAAAACACCAGACAGGATTTTTTAAGTGCAATAAGAACACTACAGCAAGGCTCATAATATAAAACATATGGTCCCGTTCACAAGCTTCACATGCTGCCCGTCATCTGCCCCTCTGCTGGTTGTTCTCTAAAAGCGTACAACACAGGTGCACAGAATAAATCAGCCACACTCTGTGCCATCTGAGAAACTTTCAAACCTGAGTTAGAATGTTGTTCCCAAGTGTTTGATGTCAGATTACACAAATTTGTAACTCATATCCTGTTTTTCTTCATGAGGAAGGCAGCAAGGTACTGTACAGCATGTTCCATGAAAATATTACATTTCAAAATCCATCAAGGCAATATTTACTAAAAGGGAACGTCGCCTGTCTATTTTCGTCACTAATGCTACGGAGTCGTCCAGTGCAAGACATTTCCAGGCTGCTTAACAGTAGTCGCTACTCATGGCTTAATAAAAAGGGAATGAGCAGGTTTCAAGACGCACGATTCAATATCAACCAACATCTGAAATTCGGTGCCCTTTATGATTAAAATATGACCTGGTTATGCCTCAGAATGGCACTTAGTGGGAACTGTAAAAGCCAAATAATGTCAGTTATCATGTTATGGCTAAACACCTCACAAATGCCTCTTTATACCCTGTGGTAGACATGCGAGACCCTTCGTGGCACCTGGACACAACATGGAAATAGCTGAGAAATGCAACGGCCAAGTGAATAGTGGAATGTTCTGTTCTGGACTGTGGAACACGGTGCAATAATAATTCACTGGGTTGTCATGGTGACTTCAAAAACGCAACAGTTAACAGTAAAATCGCCCCAGCACCCTTTAATTATCTCGTCCTCCTTTTGTTTCCTCTCTCTCTCAGTTTCTCCACCTGATCATTTAAACAGAACAAACGTTGAAAAGACTGTGTTTGCACAGAAATGGCCAGTCCTACCTATCCACATATTACCGTCTATTTCCCGGCACACCATCCTGATTTAGTAAGTTATACCTCTTATCAGCGCTCTCCCTTTTCAATCCTATCCAGTCCTTTATTTCAGCTACAATCCAGTCATCTCTTTATATCCGTCACCATAACAACCACAAATGTTCTGACAGATTTTCTGGCACTGCAGTGAGAGGTGAAGCCTCAGAGGGAGAGAGTGAGAGAGAGAGAGAGAGAGAGAAAAGAGAGAGAGAGAGACAGAGCCACCCACCCACCCAAAAATCTTGCACCAATAAATGTACACTATGTTCCCAGATCATGTGAGATGCTCGATTTCCAATACAATCTTGCAATCCTCTCCTGATTCATACATTCATTTATGTGTGCTTTGCAGCAGCCCTGCAGTTCAGACTGTGCTGTAGAAGTTATGAAGCAGACACCGCCATCACGAACAAACTGGCCAGTACGGGTTAACCTCATGTTCTGACAGATAATCAGCGATTATACAATTTGCATTTCAGTGGTTATGTCCAGACAAGGCCTTTGTCAGTCAAAAAGTCGATTCAAGAAACATCAGCGATTAACAAATAAATTGTCTTCCTCACCACTCAAGTGCTGTGAGTACTTTAGTGTACTGTGCTGCATATTCGGTGAGCCTAAACTACGAGCAGATACTTGTGGTACAGCAACCATTTTGCTGTATTGTAGTGGTCTGATCTGGGCCACGATGTGGTTATGTCCACAGCCCAACAGGAGCCATGCCTTCTTTAGTGTTTGGCGCAGGCAGCAGGTTTTCCTCACACAGGAACCTCAAGGGGAAGTGGACCAGCAGCCCTCGGACGCCCTTCAGTTCCTCCGCGGCCTGCTCAGGGTCTGTGTCGCAGAGGCGCTCCATGCTGGTGTACTCCTTCAGCTCCCGCATGTTGTGGACAGAGTTGTAGGGGAGGCATTTGAAGACCTGGAGCCGAGCAGGGCGGCAGAACAGATGAGCCAAACCGAGAAGTCAGAAAAATGAAGCTACATGGTGCTATGTTTAGAGTAAAAAGAGTCCAAATGTAACGATGATAATGATAAAACCATCTTTGATTGAAGCTGTACCTTGTCATAAATGGTGGCGTTCCGTGTAGAAGACTCGTTCCAGACCAAGAAGAAGAACTCATCACTGATCGGATCGTCAACATTGATACTGGGGTCTGAAGCAGCTCCAACAAGAACTCTGTTACAGCAGGACAATTAAATATCAAACCAAGAGTTTAGCGTCAAAGTATGATTTTAGTAAGAAAAAAGCTCTTCTATTCAGAACAACTATTTTTGAAAAAATCCTAAAGATAAATTTGTAGGTTTTACTTCTTACTGTCCATTTTTTTTTAGCTGACATTCAATCCATAGAAAACTCAGTCAGTCTTGATATTTTTCCTAACAGGAATGACACTTTAAAACTGAATCATGTCCAGAGGTGGTAATTGTTCGTGCTCAGTGAGAAAATGTCACTCATGTTTTATCCTGACCTGAAACACTCTTTGCGTAGAGCGAGTGTGAGTGGTCCCGCCTGGTATTCCTCCCCTCCCATGATGGATGGGACCCTCTCTTCATCTTCCACAAACACTGCCAACTCACTATCTCTGCTGCCCAGCATGCTGCGGTCATTGATGTTGGCTGATCCTGGAACACAAGCGGAAAGCACAAGCATTTACAACCTGTCCTTTCAGAGGCATGATTCTGGTCAAACATAGCAAGCAGCTGCTAAATGACTATTCAGAAATGGATTTAAAATGCAAATTTAAAAGCTTATGTTCAATGTAAAATGAAATCAGGTTATTTGTGAATTAAGTACATGTGTATAAATTTAAACTTGATAAATTCTACGCTCAGTACAAGAAATCTGACCATTGCAAACACAGCCTTAAGCCTTAAGTCTATTGACACACGGTTTACTGAGTTAGGCTAGTTTAACAGTGTGAATCCCTCACAATGAAAGCCACCCGATGCTTTTCCAGTTGCACAGAAGCTGTAAATTTCCAGTTTGTGTAAACAGTAATTTAAATAGTCTGCTTGCTGGAACACATCCTAAGAAGCTGTTTGAAAGCCCTGAGTGAGGGGTGCTACCACTGGTGCCATGACCAAGTCCTGAAGGACATCTGCAGTGGGATTAGCAACTGCAAGTGGCTCCGATCAGTGAAGAACAACATCTCTTTTGTCTGGGCTGAGGAAAAGCTAACATCAGCTTCTAGGACCACCTCTTCTGACCTGCTAGCATCGGCACAAGACTGAACATCAACCTGGGGAAGAATCTAAAGATCCCGGAAACTGCTGCTGTAACAATGCTAAAGCCAGACATGGTGCTGATGTTGAAAGCCTCTAAGCATAACAGTCTCTTAGTCTCTTCTTCGCTGGGGCAACCACATCAAGGTAGCCAACGAAAAGAAGAGGCAAAAGTATGCTGAGCCACCAAAAGAGCAATGAAGCAACAGGTAGATGCAAGCCAATGCAGAGGGCTTGTGTGAAGGCGACAACGTGCATTACAGGGGTCAGCAGGCGAAGGGACATGACGTTGCATCAAAAGTTGCTTGAAGGTGGCTGTGAATTAGTAAAGCACAGCCACGGGTGATGTAGCGCTACCCGCACACAAGCTCGAGGTTTGATCAACCCTGGCTAGGTCACCTGGGTGTCTGTTGATGAAAACTCAGGACACCCAATGACTCCAGGAAACGTCATTGATAAGGTGTATGATGATCTAACTATAACTCCAATACGATGTTAGGAGCGTGAGGTTAATATCAGGTATGTGTGAAAAGAAAATTGAAATCACTGCAGGAATGATGGACCTGAGGATAAAAACTACCACAGATGAGGGAAAAAAACAAAAGACAATGGGATTTGATTTCATTAAAATCTTGAGGACCACAACTTAGGGATTACTGAAGCACATAAACTGAAAACAGTATCTTAAAATTCTTCAGCATTCCCTATTTAAGGAGCCTACACTTGCAAATATTAGATTCAGTCCTTCTAGTTATTTATTTTCTTAATAAATCTCCACATTTTTGTTCACTTGCATATTTTCTCACGTGCTCTAATGAAAGCTTGAAACTACAGATTTGGCGTATTGGTTCAGTTCTATTGTAGTTTCTTTGCGACACTAAAAACTCAGAGAATATTCTAATATATCCTCATCAACAGAGCTCAGCTGAAGCCAATATTCTGTCACATGTGTGTGATATTTGTGGAATTTCTCTCCAATACTGATTAGCTATTTTGTCATGGAGCTCAGTGATAACTCGAGGTCAAAACGATAATCTGTCTTTGAATGAGTTTGCCAGTGGTGACTCACCAATGATGTAGCAGCGGTCATCAGCAATGAGGGTCTTGCTGTGAACGTAGATGAGCTCCGTGACAAGCGAGTCCGAGAGCTGGGAATGCGTTCTGAGGCCGCACAGTGTGATGTACTCTGTCCACTGGTCCTTTACTGGAGGGCAGATCACGATCACATTATTCACAACAGGATCATATGAAAATACTGTGCAGATTTATGTAGGAAACCTATATAGACATACAAACTCTTTAAATGGATGCGAAAAGAAGATGAACAGGGCAGAATGAAATGAATCGATGGAAATAGAAGAATGAAAATGATGAATGATACCTAGTACCAGTAGCTTCAGTTTAAAGGAGCGACACAAGGAGACAGAAAAACACGAGTTAGAGAGAAAACAGGTGAAAGTTTGTGATGTCAAGTGGATTTTTGAGTTGAAATAAAACTGGTTAGTGAAAGAAAACTGACCTTCACTGAGTCTTGACAGGATGGAGTGTTCCCCACGGCACATGGTCCTGAGACACGACAAATAGTAAAATAAGTCATCTACAGACATACAGCGCAACAGTATTACAATGAATCAGAAAACTGACGCAATAGTAATATCTATGCAAACAGATTGTGTGCAGCTAAGCTCGTACTGCATTATCACTAAATGCGGTTTTAGTTTGGTAACACTTATTTAGAACAAATTGAAATAGCTGGAAGGTTGTCCAGCTCAATTCAGTTCAACTGGATTGAACCTAATTCAACCAAATACTTCATCATCATCATTTTACAGAATCACTGTTTTGAATATAGTAGCATTTTAATTTAATGACATCATGTCTTTATTATCTTGTGTATTTTTATCAAAAAATCTGTAGCTAAAGAAACTTACAAAGTTTTATACTTTTACTAAACACGACAGTCAACGACAAACTTTTGCATTTAGCCCATAAATATATACGACTCTATCAGGAGTATACTAGCTACACATATTAAATAGACAGAAACAAAATATTAAACAATCTTTGAAACTATCTCAATAACATGAAACCTGTGAGCCACATCACATGAGAACAACTGACAGCAGAGTGACAGCGCAGATGAAAATCTATAGCAGCTGCACCTCTACATGATTGGAAACATGTCTTTGAGCCAGATGGCTGTTGTAAGTTAAAGTGCCTGTTCTGGGCTGTGGGCTGAGTGCAGAATGATAATGGGAGAAAAAGGCTCTCACCGGTAAGTGAAGTGCAGAATAGCTTGGATGGCATTTCCACCTCCAGCACTGATGTCTCCCTCAAATCCAGGAAGCAGAGGAATCACCACAAACACTCTGTACTTCTTCTGCTCTCTGCAATAAGACACAGATTTAACATGAACTACAAGTGTACCATTTTAAATATGAATCCACGTGCACTGTACCATTCACTGAAATTTCTATTCCATTTAATTTTTTTCAATTAAAATATCTTGTATTTAATCGTGTATCACAGTTCACTGCAATGCTCTGCTTTGTTCAGCATCTTTTAATTTAGCCTGAGTACAGATTCTAAATGAAATGCTTGATAACTTCAAGTTTCAAAAATGTGAGAATACAAAATGAATGAAGCACAAATATGACTAATACACCCAAACCGGACCTGAACGCTCGTAGAATTCGATTCACAATGGCATCACCGATCCCATTGTGGACGGTCTTCCCATCGGCGCAGCTGATGAAGAACTGGTTCTAAGGGCAGAGGGAAGGCAGATGGTGGCTCAGTATGGGGTGAGGGCCAAAGCAGGTAGGTAGCTGGCAGGGAAGGAAGCGAGCTACGACTGCATTCAGACTCATGAAAGACACAAGTTGGCCGCAGAAACTCTCAGTGATGTGAACGTGTCGAATAGTATGCACTGTAGGGAAGCTTCACATGCAGAAACATCAGAAATAAACAGGAGGCTGAAGTATACTTCAAGAGCAGATTGCTGCTTACAAAAAATGAAACAAATGCACTTTATCTTGCACATGTACATATACTTTAACAAATCAAAGTGTATTCTAAGGCGATGCTACTAAAACTATTAGTGACTACGATGATCTATTTCTGCCATGACCGCCCTTCAAATGCATCGTCGCTATCACGAGGAAGAATTAAGGAGCCAAACACACAGCTTGACTTCAGCAGGACACTGAGGTGGAAAATTAATCATTTCAGTTTGTGCTACGAGGTTCACATTTGTCAGTAAACGTGCTAGGATGTCGGTGTATTACCTCGATGTAGATGTAGTGCTCGCTGTTCTCAATGGTGTGGATGTAGGCATTCAGGATCGAGTTCTCACAGGTTCCAGTTGACCAACGATCAGCAGAGCGCAACACCTGACAAAATGGTATGCAAAAACTAAAAACTCTCTCTGCCATCGGATACACAGGAGTATTATTTATGCTGTATTTTTTTATTGCATTTTCCTGAGATATAACCCCTACAGTCACAATGTAATATGTCTTCTTCTTACAGATCACATTTACTTGCACTTTCACCCAATAAGCACAATAACGCTCCTATTTCAAGTTTAATAAGATGCTTGGTTTTGGGGACACCTGCTACACTCACATAATGTGACGCATAGTGCATACATAATGTGACATGTGAGGCGCTGCCACTGAAACCTGAATACAGCAGCTACAAAACCTGATCGAAACGGTGCAACACAATGTGGAGCAAGGGTTACAGTTACAGGACACCGCCCACAACAGAATAAGAAAATACAGACAGTAAACGCTATTGTTACCCAGCACACACTGTCTAAACAATACGAGTTCATACGTCATTTGTCATCTTGTCTGTGAATTACTCCGTCCTCTAGTCGACCAAGACGGATTAATACATCTTTACATAGTTGCTATATGTTGCATCTTAAGCATCGTTTAATAAATTAAGAGAGTCTCTTGTGCTGCTAATGCTGGAGTCTCTCGTAATCTGGACAACAGTTTCCCGTGGAGCCTGTTGCAAATAAGATGCTTCCACTTGTAATCCCCTCTCTATCCTTGGCAGTGCGTTTGTTTTCTCTGGCTTTACTGAACAGGATAAATATGTTGGAAGTAATTTTGTTCTACAGGCTTTACTTTTGTTCCACCATCTGCCACAGTGAAAAACACTGAATACTGAATAGCTGCGTTTCAAAAGCCAGAACAGTGTCTCTTTGTTGTAAAAGACATCCATCTGATTTTCTGTTAGATCTGACCTGGCGGCACACAATGTAAAATTCAGAGTAGAAGTCAACGGGGGCCTTCAGTCTTCTGGGGAATGGTGTTGCTTATTTACAGTAACTGCAGGAATTTCACCAAGGCTTCTATATTAATACAGAGATGACCAGCAGCATGGTTCCTTTTACAAATGTAAAATCTAGTCAATTATGACTATGTGTTTTCATTTCTCTGAACACAAAGATAGTCAGGAGTTGATGTCATCCTGACTAAAGCCTTCTGTTAAAAGATCCCAGTGTAGCTTGTAGCTTGTGTGATACAAAAGCCTCATTCCCACACAGGCTTTAGGTGCCAGAGTCCAGCTTATTGTAAAGCCTCTGCTGGTTCTATGGTCGTGCAGCTACAGAACCAGGGCTGCGTTTCTGTGCAGAAAACTTCCGTTTCTAGCAGGTTTCTAGTGTGAAGCCTGTCTCTTGCAATCCCTGGTGAGCTTACTTTACAACTGCTCTGCTGCAGAGATCTATATTGTATAGAAAGAAAGCCTGATTTATCTGGCCCAGTAAGGTCACCTAGGAACGCTGTTTGTATAAGAGACTGAATGCATGTGTGAAGGCTGAAAAGCCCGACATTTCCTACAGAGCTAAACCTGGCAGTGCTGTCATTTCCATTCGTAAGAGGTAATACAATAGCACCGTTTCTTGTGGCACTGCTACAAACCCACCATTATCTGTTCATTAAATAATCAACAATTACAAAATGAGATGTGGTGACTTGAAATATCTTTACTCTTTCTTCTTCAAGAGGCAAAATGTTTTAGTCACATGTCACACAAATGTCCATCATTGACTGTGTCACTAATGAAATCTCACACAGCTTCTGCACAGATATTGACTTCATCTGCAGTCCATATGTGTGAATAAATACCTGCACTTTGGCTTTCTGGGACCCAGGCACAGTGAATGAGAGTGAGTCTGCAGTAGTGTGAGACTTGGGAAGAAGGTACGGGTAGAAGTCGTCCTTGTACTTGTTTTTGAAGATCTAAAGCAGACAAAATAAATAAATATATTTGAGACAGTCATGGTTTCCTCAGAGCTACTGTTGAAAAGTTGCATTAAGTTTATTTTAGGACTTGCCACCTCAGTCATATTATTACATAGGTAAGCAGAACACAACAATTTCCAACTGGGCCAAAGCTATACAAGTTCTAAATGGTGACTTTAAAAAGATATTAGCTTGATTTTTTTTTGTTTACGCCACCAAGTAACTGCTTTCAATAGCTGCAGTACAAGATGTGCTAAAGCTGCATGACGCTTGTGTATCTGTAGACTCATTTGTAAAGCAGCTTCAAGCAGAGCACCAACGTCTCACTCTCCAAAGTTATGAGCACAGATATTCATGACATATCTATGGCGATAAAACTCAGCTCTCTTTTGTGTCTGACCTTGGTGAAGTTCCAGCGCTGGATGAAGTGGCGGGCCAAATCCCTGGCAGCTCTGCCATGAATAGCTGCATGGAGATCACGCCACGGCATGCGAGGAACTTGAGTGCGGTCGATGTTATCTGAAAAAACACAAAAAGAAGTCCTTTCATCTCCCTGCTCTGAGACTCTCAGTGTGTTTGCATGTGATGCTGAAGGAGATTTACAACGCACCTTCAAATGGTTTGTCCAGTTGGACCCAGTCTTTCCTGATAAAGTTGCTGTAGTCTTTGCCAAGCCACAGTTTAGTGTTACTAGCCAGATCGTCAGGGCTCTCTTCTGCTTCCTTATCTGGTTCAGATGGTTTGGGGCCATCAGCCACACAATTGCCCTGGTTAACAGAATTATCTATTAATGTCTGCAGGGTGTGCGACATACTGGAAGCACACTGGTTCATGAATGACTGTAAACATATTCATGCACAATCTGTGTCGAACAAGAAATTAAAGCAACCATGTTCTTACGTCCATGTCCTCCTTTGTCTTGTCCTCACTGTGTGTCTTTGCCAGGCCCAGGTCAGTGAGCTGGTAGCGGCTGTCATCCCACCTCCCAAACGCTAAATCAATCCCCCCAACAAAGGCTACTGTTTGGTCAATGGCCACCATCTTTTCATGGTGAGCCCACAGGAACACCACAGAGGACAAGTGGTCCGGATGTCGCATTACCTGAAGGATCACGGGCACAAAACTGACATTAACATGTAAGACGAGGCTTCTTCTCATAGCTGCAATTGTGTGGCTGCTCTCTGCATGTCAGATTATGCAGAGAGGTGACAGACCTTGATGTTCGGGTGCATATTCATAAGAGTCCTCTTGCTGTGGTCACTATTGATGCCAAGCGCTAGTTCCACCTCTTTGTACAGCAGGACACACACTTTGACTCCTTGTTCCTGCAGAAAAGGGTTCAAAGAGAGGTGAGGACATTTATAAAAAAAAATAAATTAAAAAAATCTATTTGCACAGGTAATGTGAAATTTGAAAATCATTTACATCCTTAAAACAAGACAGAGAGAGTTCCCTACTGCTTTGCGTTTGAGTATCTCATCCAGCCGCCAGTGGTTGTCAGTCGCCGGTCTCTTTAGGAACACTTCAGGGCTGAGCCTGAGAGGAATAAACTCTATTTCCATCATCTGCATCTTTAAAGGTAGCTAAAATATTGTAAAAGTATAGTTACACATGATTTTTTTTTTTTTTTTGGCAAATCAGCAAATCCAAATGTTTTGACACTAACCACCAATCTGTGATGAAAATCTCCTCCTTGGCTTGTTCAAGAGCATCAGCCAGGTCTGCAAAGTAGCCACTTCCATTCACATACCTACAAATAATACAAAGAAATGTAAAAAGTATATATAAATATAAAGGCCTCATACTAAATGTTACAACAATTATCTGACAAATCACACAACTGACCATTTTGTGAGAGAGTTCTCCCGTGGTGGTGCAAATCCCTCAAAGCGTTGCACTTTGAGAAAGTCACAGGTTTCTGCCAGCTGGTTGATTTCATGGCTCCACCAGTGACTCTGTCTATAGCTGCTGCACTTAATAATCAAACTCCTGATCAAAAACAAACAGGCAATGCATCACAAACACAACATAACCCCCTGATATACAACTCTCAATGCAGGCGCAAAAACAAAGCGGGCCTACCGAGTGAAATTCTCAAAGCAGACTCCGTATCTGGTGTCTGTGTGCGCCCGGCCCACTTTCACTTTGAACTCGGGGTCGAACAGCAGCACAAAGTTGATGCTGCCGTTGTCTCGGTCCATATACATCAGGAAGGAGTCTTTCACCACCAGCCAGCGGCGTGACCAGCGGAAACAGAACTGGTGGTGACCAATACAATTCAGGCCTTGGATCCGGTGACCCCCCGACCTCTTGTAGATAGGTCCCTCCCTGAGACAGACATAGTTCACATATATATTGTATGTTTAACCTGTATCATGCACTCAGTTATCTCCCAAACTGTCACACACGAGTGTTTTGCTTACAAGCCCTTGGGTCCCAGATCAGAGATGAAGGAGAGAGCTCCAACAGAGAGGAACTCCAGCTGAAAAAAAAAAAGGGCAATGAGACAATATAATAATGCTGCATGACACCAACTTTATATGTACATAGTTTTAAAGCATTTACCATGCTGTGGTCATTCCTGCAGAATGCGTTGTCCAGCAGACCATTCAGGTACTCCTCAAGGTATTTCTGCATTAGAAGAGCAGATATTTACAATAAATGTCAGATGAGACAACAAAAAACAAAGAAGTGTAACCACCCAAATATATACCATATTTCCTTGCAATATTAATAGAATATCAGAGTCCTTTGACAATATGCTGATCAGTATGTATTAAAATAAATGAACAAATTGATAATAATGCTTCGTAATAAACTGAGAAGACCAATCATCTGTTGTCTTCTGAACTCAAAGCAGTTTCTGGGCATTTTTTATCCAGTCATATTTTTACTCACTGTGGAAACGGCACAACCAAGACGAGACTATAAATATTTTACTACTTACATTTTTTAATTTGTTCTCCCTTTGTAAACACAACCTGTAGTGCAGTCAAGTTGAGCTGAAAAGTCCCTGATGTTTTTTCACATGATCGTTGGTAACAGCTGAGTTACTCATGATTCGTGGTTCTACCGAGGCACATTGATTTATTTTGCTTTATTAGATAATATAATAAGAGTATATGGTTTGCTTTCATCAAATTTTTAAATGAGACTTGTGGAATATAAATGTCTTTTGATGAAATATCACAAATTTAGGCGTAAAATTGATAAAGATTGCAGAAAACAGAAGAGCCGATCACAGATGAGCAGTTCATGGACCATCAGAAATTTGAAAATGCGCTGATTCCTTCAGTTTTTACAGTTTCTGATTCAAAAAGATGTGTGTAATTTTGGCTCCTTTTTTTTTTTTTTTAGGACAACAAGCCTTTGAAACCCGCCAGCAGTTTGGGTGCTAAATAAAACACTAAAGCTTACCACAGTTCTAGACACAACGTGTGTTTACTCAAAGGGGTTGTTCCAAGTACAAACTGTTAATTCTGTATCTGACCAGTTTATTTCATACCATTTTGCTGGAGGTTCTTCTCGTCCGTTCAGTCCCATGTAGGCTGGGCATTTCCTCTGGCATGTTTCTCAGCTGCTGCCTGTCCTTTGCAAATCTTTGAGGGGAAATTTGAATATTCAAAATATTCAGTGCTTGAGAGGTCTGACAACAAAAACTCAAAGCAATCTATCATTGCTCAGATTTCAAATGCACATCTTTCAGATTGAGAGCTCGATTTGCATGATTAACATAAACACTGGTACGCCGACCTTCCCAGAGGCAGCAAGTGACGCATCATCCTGTGCTTGTAAAGGTCTCGATGCAGCTCCTGAAAGTGCTTGTACTTCCTCTTCACTGTCCAGTGGAAGTGGCCATGCGTTAGCCGCACAGTGTATAAGGTTCCTACATGGACCTGAAGGGATGTTATATAAAATACATGCATATTAAGTATGGCGGTTTAAAATTAGAAACATCAAATGACGAATACAACGGCAGAGAAGCCTTCATATTCTGACAGTATCGTACAAATTCTTATTGTATTAAGAGTCACTAATTACAATATGAATAAAGCTTTTTTTATGTGTTGAATCTTTTTTCAAAGTTTTCGGCCTGCATTTTTTTTTCCAGTTAGAGGCACATTTTCATCACAAACTTTGTTGCAAAAGTCTGGATAACACCGGCAGTCACGATAGACGAGAACCGCAAGAGTTTAAAGACCCAGGCTGGTTTATCTCTAAGCCACTTATATGGAAGTTATAAACAACAATTAACACAACCAGAGTGTCAATTATAGTTGTCTACTGTCAACCTGCATAAGGTAAGAGCAATAAATCAAAACCAAAGCAGCTATTCAGTTTGTTCATTGTCTTTTTATGGTTCATGTGTGAACCTCTTCACACAGGGACAATTGTACATTTCCACTTCTCCTTATATTCATGTTTTTTTGGGCTGTGGGAGGAAAACCAGACATTGAAAGAATATGCAAACTGATTGAGCCACCCAAACACAACTCAGCTGTTACTAATACTTGCACATTTTTTAGTGACTCACTTCTTACAAAATACAACATGCAGCGCTTGTCTAGTTCCACATTGAATATTATACCAATACATATGAGCTGGAGCTTCTTAGTATGAAATACCATGTAGAAAGGTATGTGTGTGTCATAATCATAAAGTGAGCTCCTGGTCAGTAAAGGCGTTATTAGATTAGGCTACCTAAAGCTCCAGGAGGCCCAGGAGGGATAAAAAAGCATTTTACAACGACCAGCTGCTACTGCTGGCACTTTACTCATCTATAGTGGTGGATCGATATGTGTTTTTAAAAGATCAGTGCTGATATGTGGAGAGCAGGGTGGCTGCTGGCAGATACATAATGCTGTTTATGGATTTATCTCAGCTCTTGTATCTTAGCTCATCGAATAAATGTCTCTATAGATCAACTAATTTCGAATAGCAACACATACTTACTCTACTCTACTCCAGTGTCTCTTTTGCAAAGTTCCCGGCTATTTTTAGACTTAACGTATACGTAGTGTGGTATTTCATGTCTGCAGATGTCTACAGAGAGTTTTTGCTGACCAGTTTCGTCCACCTATAGCACGCCAATGCCGAGGCAGGAATAAGTCACTGCCGAATATGTCAAAATGGCAATTAATCTACCTCCACACATTTGTATGACCCAACATTGAATCTACTCAAAGAAACTGCCAGTGTTGTCACTAGACTACCTTTCTATCTGTATATACAACAACTGAACCTGCTGGCTCAAGTACAGCATTAAGGCAGAATATCAACAAGAACGCAACACAGGGACGGCAGGCTATTAACTCGAAACAGTTTCCTATTAAGTTTAGTAAGCAAGTTTAAGCTGCAGTTTTATTACTCTCATAACTTTAATTTGGCATAATGTTATTAGGGGGAAGCTTAGGGTGTCGTCACCCAAGCTTGAAAATAACACTGAGATTAGAATTAAAAAGTGATCAACAGTTGGCTGTAAGTGGTCTATGTGTCATTTAATAGTAAAGGCTGTTTTGACATGGTTCTGAAGAGTGACTAATTAAAGATAAATGTGCATACTTAGACTTTATTATAGGCTTTCTATAAACACTCGTTGCACTGAAATGACTCGCAAAAAAAACTGTAAATGATTTATCATCATAAAAAACCGATGTACCTTTGAGCGAGTGGTGTATTTCTCTGTGTTGTCCACTCTGCAGGTAATAGGAGTCCCAGGCATTAGGTAAGGCACGCCCTCGTCTTTCATTTCAGGAAGATGATGCACCACAAGGAATGGTCGGCCCTCTGAGATTTAATAGATTGGAATGTTTTAATGAAATTGCTCTAAAACAGCCAGAAGATTTTCTCTGTGGGCAGCTCATGTTTCCTTACCACTGGACGACATGAGGCCATCGATCTCATCTGGACTCAGATGGCGGATGTCGTGGAGGAAGCGCCTTCTGCCCAGGTTTTGGGCCACTGAAATCTCAGTCGCTGGCTCGATCACCTCCTCTTGACTTGCCATCGCGCTGTCGTTGCAGGTGCCAGCTGCCCTGGTGTGGAGATGAAAGAGCGCAGAGTTTTGTGTACCTTCTCACTGCAAAGCATACAGACTGTGCACTGTGCTGGTATGCATGCAAAAACTAAATACTGGCCAAACAAATGTGAAACCAAAACCTGTCTCTTTATACAGTGGATTGACATTTTAAAGTCACAGTGCTTGATATTTCCCTTCATCTATAGTAATTTATAAGCAGCATGAGTAAAAGCAGTAGCAGCAGAGCAGAGTTTTTAAGCAGCAACAGTCCTAAAGGCAACAGTTCAGTATTTTCATTCACTGTAGACACACAAGAGTCCAATGTAACACCCCTTCCATGATGTGTATCTGAATAGTTTGTGAGATAATCTGATATTGGAGGCAGGATCTTGAAGTAAATCTAATCTCTGAAGAGGGCAACATATCATGATTGCACAACGATAGGGACTGAACTACAGTATCACGCCATTCAACAACAGACGACATCGAGCATTAAGTCAAAGCATAATAAAGCAGAGGGCCTTCATAAACCGCACATCTTGTGGCATCAACCTGTTGCTCAAGCCATCGATCTTATGGCATAGGAGAAGTTTAGGACCAGAGAGACTAGACTAGCAGATCTATCTACCAGGGAGAATAAAGGGTGTGTATGAAACCTTTTGTGTGCTGTGTGGGTAGATGTCTTTGAATGGCTGAATGTTTCCTGGGAAACAAGGCAATAGGGGAGGGAGGGTGTGTGTGTGTGTGTGAGCGAGAGAGAGAGAGAAAGAGCTTGAAATGAAGCAGAGGATGAAACGTACCAGAACCACATCTACGTCCTTTTTGTGAAACATGCAATGAAGTAAGAGCCTTTCAGTTTTGCACACTAGTGGTTCCCATGAGCTCAGCACATGCAAGACGAGCTACATGGGAGTCTGAGCAGTAAAAAGCAGGTAAAGGCAGGCGTGACATTAAACCCTGGGTGGGAACGTCACTTGTACCGTTCAAGCCAAAGGCTGCAGGCAGCATCTAAAGACTGGAAGAGTGGCAATAGGAACAAAGGAAACAAAGGGAAAGTGATGGATGAGTGCACTCTCAGGTGGCCATAAATCCCCAAAATGTCCTCCCAGAACGTTTCTGATGTAGAGCAACTTTACACAACCAGCAGCGAGTTTGAAAAAATCTGCATATTTCAGTCACGTATTTATTATAAACGTATTATTTGGTCACTCGTGGGTTTGTTACAGGTCACTGCTGTGTCACATAAATACTGGAGAAGGTACTCAATGCTTGATGCTCTGTTAATTCCTTCATAACTAACACATTTTAACTAAGTGCTTTGTTGCATTCATAAGTAAAATTAGGAATTTAAAACAGTCTGGGGAATTTCCTGAGGATTGATCTTCACCACCTGAGTGAGAAGTTCATAGCTATAGTGAAAAACTTCACATAAAGGGTCATTTCCTTTCATTTTGAGCCCTCACTGCTCTTTACTCATGCTCTTGTTGATTCCACGTCGAAACCAAAATCTGCATAAACCAGTCAGTCATGTAAATTGGCATCAAACCCCAGGATTTGACTTTACTTCCCTGGAAAGCTCTCTGGTCCATAAGACTGCCTGTAGCTTTTTTTTTCCTCCACTGTTTGGTGTTTACTATCAAAAGAAAAGCTTGCTCGTACTTGCCACCAAGCACACATTACATGCAGAACACTGGCTCACATGACAAAACTTAAGACTGACACCGAGTTCAATCCCTGCATTCACACCGAAGCAGATGATATTATCTGTTTACATTATAAGGCAGGGGAGCGTACAGTTGACTTAACAAGATTTTCTTGTTTTTTCGCTTGTCGGAGTGAAACTTTGTCTACAATATTTACTCAGGTTACCTCATTGTTAAACACTACATTGCAAACACTCAAGATTCTCTACAACCTGAAGATAAAGTTACTACTGAACGCAAGACCACATGCTGTGAGTCAAGCAGTCACGTGACCATAAACCTTGATATGTGTGTCACAGGCTGTGCGTGTTCTACACAACTTTTTTATTGCTGAACACATCCACTAACAGCATTAACACTTGATCAGTCACTACTCCAGTTCTTGTATCCATTGGCGTCCTGTAAAATTTACAGTAAAAGATTCTCGTGACAAGGCAATGTGAAACCTGAGTTGAATTCCAGATGTTCTCGTTCCTCATTCCATCTCTGAACCACCATTATCCTCATAACTTGGCTTTTTAAACCCCTATGGGTCTTAATTGCAAAAAGTTTTGGTTGTTGTTGATAAAGATAAATGTGTCACAATATACTGCTTTTTGATGGTTTTTTTAAAATCTTTTTTTTTGTTTTTTTTGAGGGAGCTGAAATGTAGATACTACTATTTCCACTACTATCATTACTTATATTGCAACTGATTTTTTTGCACATTGTTCAGTCATATAGGTAAACCTTTTTATAGACTTCAATCTCTGCCTCATGTTTCGGTACATGTGTCTGTCACTGTACCGTGTTTCATTTTGTAATTTATTCTTACTTCACTTGTTTTTTCTGTTCCTGTGTGAATGACTTTGTAACTGTTTTCAGGCTTGTCTCTCTGGGCTAGGTTTCATATTGTAATTTATTCTTTGTTTTTTTTTCTTCTCTTTTTTGTGTGTGAAGCACTTTGCAACCATGTGTTCTAAAAATAAAAAATGTGATATAAATCAAGCTTTACGTAATGTTGCCAACAGCAAAGACCGGCAAGGTCATGCGAGATTTAAAGCCCCTGGGCTGTATTTACTATAAGTACCACAGATTTCTGACTTTGGTGACTCCCAGTGGTTACATATCTACATATCTATCTATATATATATACACACACACACACACACATATACATATATATATATATATATATATATATACACACACACACACATATGAAGAATTCATTTGCAAAAACAGATAACTCCATCTTTTCACAAACCTTCAGAAAACCCACTTTCCATCGTCTACCTGAGACAATATCAAACTTAAGTTATCTCTATGTTTGCCATGTCATTTCTACTGAGTCAAATCCACTCAACTTCAGTTTGATTGATATTATCTCAAGCAAACAATAAAAAAAAGTTTTCTGAAAATCTACAAAAATGGAGTGATCTGTTTTTGCAAATGAACTCTTCATATATATATATATTTATATGTGATTAGGTGAAAACTTTTCAAGTATTCTAATGGTGTCATTTTTGCCTGAAGAAACATAAAACATACAGTCCCAATGAAAACTTGTGCTGTTTGTGTGTGGTTTGATCTTTGTTCTGCATTCCCTGTAAAACAGAATCGCCCATTGTAATTATATATATGTAGCAGCAGCTGAAAATCTTGTTTCATCTAGAGATTGACCGATCAGCCTGGGAAAGGATCGGATCTGATATTCAGCATTTTTATATTCACTGACTTCTTGTTTCAACTGCTGACCTCCAGCTGCATCCTGCAGTGATGATGCTCACTGACACTGTGTGGTTTCTGGTGAAACGAAGGTCTGCTGATAATGCAGGACTTAAAGCTTCAACCTTTAGGGATTTTCAGCTTCACATAGTTACTTCTTAAGGAATGCTTCTGTTGCATAGTAGAGGATTAGGTATGCCTCACCATCACACCATCACCAAATTGGCTCAGTTTTACATTTTATTTTGCAGTTAATCAAAGCTACCATGACAACATCTAGCATACATCTCAATATAATTACAATCACAGATTTTTTTGCATGAAGTATATTATAATCCTTGAGTAATTACACTTCAAGCATGGCTAATTTATATCTGCACTGATAAAAAGGCAGCAAAGCACATGTAGCGAATCATTCACTCAAAAAAGTGCAACTTACAGTCGTCCTCAGATGTATTCATAACCTCCCATTAAAGAAGGAAAAAACAGGTGTCACTGAAATAAGTTGAAATTGACAAAAGTAATAAAAAACAAAAATTTATGAAAATTATGGCATTGCTTTTGAATTGTGGTTCAACAGAAATATATTTTAAAAAATGATGGGACCCGTAAACTAATATTTTGTTGAACAACCCTTTAAGACAATCACTGCAATTAAGTGTTTTCTGTAACTCTCAGTCAGACTTCTGCACCTGCTGACAGCTATTTGGATTTCACTGCTCATCAGCAAAGTGCTCTAAATTGTCTGGGACAGTTGTTCTTTTTTTTTAATTATTCTTTTCAACCACAATTCAAAAGCAATGTCTTATTTCACTAAATATAATTTAGCAAATTTTTATTTATTATTACTTTTTTCAGTTTCTAGTGATTTGAGTGACTATTGTGAATTTTGCCTTTTCTTTAATGGAAGGGTATGAATAAATTTGACAACTGTACTTTTTGAGGAAAGCTTTTGTTGCATAGAGGATTATGTATGCTTCACACCATCACCAAATTGGCTCAGTTTTACATGTTATTTTGCAATTAATCAAAGCTACCATGACAACATCTAGCACACATCTCAATATGATTACATTTTTCTGCATGAAGTATATAATAATCCTTGAGTAATTACACATCAAGCATGGCTAATTTATATCTGCACTGTTACAGAGGCACATGTGACATATTCACTAAAAAAAAGTGCAACTTATCTGCAAGTGACCTCCACAGATTAGTCTTCCATGCTCAAGTGGAAAGTTGTGTTTTTGCCCATGTTGCTAATCTTTCATAAACAATGCATATAGACTCTTTACCTTGACGTTGGGCAGAATAAATGCCACCACAGTCTACAGGGTGCAGCAGCCATATGACATATGAAGACAAGTCACAAATTCCATCGTGACTAAAACAACAGCGCTGAGTCAACTCATGCCGACACTGATGCCCATCGGATTTCCGCAAATATGCACATTGTCGCCGAAAATAGTGAATCCTTCTGACGGTTTTAAAGCAGCAAAGCAACCATTTAGACGCTTTGTAGGAGTTTAACACACATTTTTTTTAGGAGGGGAAACTAGCTTCTCATGTGAGGTTGTCCTGCTCCATGTGATTAAGTTGCTCTATTTTACACCACCCAGCCAACATAACTTGATTTAATGTCGGTGTAACACTACGGACGGGTAGGTTAGAGTCGGTGTTCATGCCTAAAAAAAAAAAAAAAGAGAGAAAGAAAATGCTGAAGGCTAAGTTTTGTCGTCTCCACCCATTATTCCTGGTTTCCTACAGCGCAGCATTCCTCTCCCAAACTACACCTCACTTTACGAAACAACAATATCACACCTGGCTAAAGCAGTTCCGAGCTAACTCGGTTTGTTATCGAGGCTCGGAGGACTTCAAACCCGCAGCTGGACTCTCTTCAGTCGGCAACACTGCGGCAGAACAACCGAGTGGCACTAAAACCTTCAACCACGGCCTTAAAGAAAACACACACTTACTCTGAGTTTACAGCCACGACTCGGCTCACACAGCGACTCCACACACAGGAAGAAAACACGCAGTCATTCAGCCTTTAAAGTGATATTTCATCCCATTTGGTGTTTCACAGGAGACCTCATCTGTATTCCCCGTAGGTGATGCACACTTTTAGTCCCTCCCATCGGCTGCCCAGTGGGACAGAGAGAGGAAAAAGAAAAAGTGCAGATGCTTCCTGCAGCTTTCTCACCAGAGAGTTAATCATGTCTTTTTAATAGTGAGAATTCTTGACCCCAAAAAAAAAAAGTGGGGGTGTTTCATATATTTGTGCAGCTGTGGAGAAGGAAACAAGCATGGGGATGAGCTCATGTAACTGGGAGGTCTGTGTTGTAATGATGTGGAGGTGGACAAGTCCCGACTGGACCGCAGGAAGGGGAATGTAGACGGTTTATCATTAGAGAGCATCTCTTATCAGCGTGGTATCTGTTATCAACTCTCAACGGGAATCACGTTAAATATCACGAGAGTTGCGGTTAGCGTTCTCAAATGAAACCTTTGAGGGGGAAAGATAGCAATGTGTTTGTGTAAAACTAAACACGGACATACGGTTGAATAAACACCCGTGTGTTTCTTAGAAGGGTAATTTTAAGCGCTTTCATCACTGTCAGTCTGCGAATAAAAAACAAACTTTTCAATGCTGCACATCCAAAGTGTATGTCGTGCTAGCTTCTGCTAACGTTAGCAGCTATCTTAAACTTTGCTATACCGTGTTGAAGTGAAGCCAAGAACTCGGGATTAAATTACATGACGTGAGGGTATTGGGGCTGTGATATGCTGCCACTGTGGGAATGGAAACGACATGTGTTCTGTAGCTGACGACACGTGCAATCTGAGTGAAATCTGGATTGTGATTTGCATGTCTGACAGTGCAAAACTTTTCCAGCCACACCCTTGTCAGAACCGGTTACCAGGGGCGTAGTTCAGCCTGGGCGTCAGAGGCTCCTGCCCACAATGTCATATGAATATCCCTGCATCACAATATTTAGTTTGTATTCACTTTTCAACAGTTTAAAAAAAATGATGAGGGTTCACATACTTTCTGTGTCATATGCAACAATAAAGATCAGACACAGAAATAGGTTTATTACCAGGTATAGTTTACGCAATACAAGGGATTTGTTCTGGTGGGTTGGTGCAATTTTGGAAAAAGAAAAAAATAGAAGATGCAAATATAAATATAAAATGTGAATATAAAAAAAAATAACATCAAAACAGTAGCAATTGATGTAATCATTGTAATAGAATTCTAAGCCCACTGTTTCTCAACTGGGTGCCATGATCAACCTATTTACAGTAAACACTCATGGAGATAAATTTACTATACAGAGAAGAGTGCATAAAGAGTATTTGCAGGGAAAAATGTTAAAAAGGGCATAATATTTATGGTGCAAAGGCAGAAGAAGCAGTGGCATGGAAGTGTCAATCAGTCTAATGGCCCTGGGGGTAGTAATTGTTCTTGAACCTCGAGGTTAGGCATTTTAAACTCTTGTCGCATCTTACTGACAGCAGGAGCGTGAAAAAGTTGGTGCTGCTGATGGGTTTGCTCCTTTCTGAGCACTCTCTGCAGATGGATATCCTCTAGAGATGGGAGGGCCTAGCCGTTATGTGCTTGACTGATTTGATCACACTCTGCAGGCGCTTATGGTCCACTTGTGCGCAGTTCCGATGCAATGCAGTGATGCTATCAGTGAGAACTGGCTCAATAGTGCACTGATAGAAGTTGCAGATGGTAGTTTAAGAGAAGCTTCTGCTGTGCTTTCCTGGTTAGCTGGATGTGTCCAGATGAAGTCCTCACACATGTGAGCCCAGAGTAACTTAAAGGTGCTGATTCTCTCCCACTGATGCACAATGAGGCATGGAGCTGGTGGGTTTTCTCCTTCATAAGGTCGACTATT